AAAATTATGGGATTCTTGAAAACTGGCACAAACAGAATAAAAGGACAGAAGGAGGATGAGCCAGATGTTGGAGCCTCTCCTCTAATCTAACAAAAACAGTGCATAAATGAACCTAACAAACAAACTCCAACAAAACTAGACTATCAGACCTGCATCCTTAAAAAGAAGCAAACTGTGGAACAACAGCAAAACAAACAGAAGGACTGAGGTTGCAGGAGGGTTGCTTCATGTATGTGTGTGTGTGAGAGAGAGAGAGAGAGAGAGAGAGAGAGAGAGAGAGAGAGAGAGAGAGAGAGAGAGTTCTTTTGCCTCCATCCTCCCTTAAAGGTCACATGTTGGGCCCCTTTTTGATGAAATTAATGGAAGTCTCCCGTGTAACCAGAAAGCCTTTGATTTTTCAGCTGAAAGTACTGCAAAGATGGTTCATTTCAACATGACTCTATAAACAGGCACATGTGTGTGTGTGAGGCCAGGATTTTCTACTGTTTCTAATTTTCTCTGAGCAATGAAATTACATGGAAATATCACCAAATTCACAGCACAGCCGTTGTTTTTAACTCATGTGTTGCAATTACAGAACCAGTCGTTTATTGGTGCGGAGCAGCAGCTTGGATATGACTCTCAAATGACTGTCAGTAAACATGTAGTCCTGATGAGCTGCATTTCAGTTGCTGTTTCGTACTCGTTTCATTGTTTGACAACTGAAAAGGAGAAAAATGTAAAATAACATTAGCTTTATTTGGAATTTAGCTGTTTTAAAATGCAGTATATGTGAGCACAGAGAGCAGGAGAGAAGTAAACAGATGTAACGACTTAAGATCAAGATTGTAAGACTGAAATCGGTGCTTTGACTTATTGTTTTCTGGTCGTGCTGTAAGCTGCAAAGCTGCTGGTCAGATGATTCATCTGAAATTTAAAAAATATTGGATTTGGAACTGGAGATCGACCCAGTGTCTCTCATCTCTGGCCTACTCAGTAGACCTGAAGAAACACTGTGTGGAGGAAGAACATTTTGCTGCAGTGCATCAATAAAAAAAAGTTGAGCGCAAACACAGAGTACTGGAATATCTTAAATGTGATTTATATTCAAAAATGTATTAATTTTTATAGGATTTGGGGATCCTTATCAGCCATCTTGCTCCAAGGTTTTCTTGAATGTTTTGGATGGACATTAAGAATTTATACGAATCTGAGAAAATGTTTTTGTTTGTTTTTTGCTATGATCACTTCTTATAATGCATGTTGTCATCTGATGTGAAGTTAAAACTAATAAATAAATGTTAAAAATGAATTTGAACAACAGAAACACTGTACAATGTGTTCAATCTAATACAACAGCACTGTAATAACATTCAATTTTGAGCTTGCATTAAATATGTCATTTTGCTCGATGTTTCTGTTATTTTGTCCACTTCTGACACTGACCTGATGCTTTAAATCAAGCACCTACACTGTTTTTGTATACAGCAGCTTCCTAATGCAGGACAGGGGAGCTCCATCAGATCCACTAGGAGGAAAGATTTACACTCCAACAATGTTCCACACACAACATTTGGCAAAGCAAGAGCCGAGAGCTACGAGTGGAAGCTGACTTCAGCAACATGCGCCATCAGAGATTAGTCACAACAGCGAGTCAGTCGTCCCTCCATGCGGTCCCCAGCTGGAAAAACCACGAGGGGACGGTTATGATGGACACCTGTCGCAGCTCATCTCTGTCAGAGTTCATACGCTGCTATGTTTAAGACCGAAGGCCCGCGGGTAGACAGAAGCACAACCAGGGCCAAACATGGAACAGCTGCTATATGGGGGTCTGCAGAGGGGCAGGAGGAGGGTGAAGACTTTAACGGAGCTCCACATTTCATCTCCGTGGCGACACTCTCCATCACTTTCACTGTCATGTTCCGCAAAGACGAGTGCACGTGAATGGAGCGTTGAAATTATGATGCAGAATACATCACAGGATGAAAATACTCCTAAAAGCAGCACATTTTTAACTACTTCAACGTTTACTAGTGCAACAATCATCACCAGTTTACTCAAAACTCCCTTCAAATCCACTGTTCAGCTGCTCTCCCTGTATACATGTTATTCACTTGTATTTACTTACTAATTTACATAAATTGGCACAATGTCGAAAATAGCAAATCTCTCAGACTCGCAGTGACGTTTCCCGCGGTCTTAGACAGATTTGGATACAAGAGCAGCCAACTGGTGTTGGATTTGCCGCTGAGCACCGAGACAGTTTCAGGGAGGCGTTTGCTGTGCCACAGTTGCTTCCCGAAGACTTAATATAATACATCCATAGCGCTCGCAGATGTGACGGGGCACTACATTGATCCTGGATTAGAGAGATGAGAGTCGCTGAGGTGACCAAAGCAGAGAGGAAGAAAGGATGGAGAGCAGGAGGAAGAGGCGACTTGTGTGATGTGTGAGGACGAAAGGCAGGAAGGGAGGGAGAAAATCTGGAGAGACGCAGTTAGAGGACAGAAATCTTAATGGAGGAGAACAAAAAGTGACTGAGCGGATCACATCTTTTTGTCTTATTCCTGTGAAAATTAGCACCGCTGACAGAGAGAGACCCCCATCTCTCCTCATTTACCCCCGAAGGTGCAGAGACTGTCGTATAAAAAGTCACACTGTCTGGCAATTTAATCACTGAGGACCAAAGCTTGAGACTCTATGAGAGGATCTGTTGGGTTTTACACTCAGAATCACTGATCGTGTCCTGAACTCACAGCTGAGAAGATGATGAGAAAGAAATTAGCACAGCAGAGGAACGACAGTGAGCCCTGAATTTGAAGATTCATAATTAAGATAATTTAAAAAATCACATCACACAGGTTGCAGATGGAGTCATTTAACACTTGAATACTCATGTGGCATCAGCCCGCAGAACAAATGTTCCTTTATGTCTGCAGAGTGAAGAGATATACATGAAATTCAAGCATAAATCTGTTGAGTTCACTTCATTAGTTAGGTATGAAAATGCTGGAACAATTCTGCTGAAGGTTTGTTTGTTTTTCTCTCCACTGTCAACAACATTCTTGTTCATGGGAATCTATGGAATACACCATATAAATTGCTATACTTATTTATAGTTTGACTAATTTGTCATTATATATTAAAAATAGAATATTTTTTTCCCTTTTGATAATTTTTTTGTGTGTAAAATTGTTTAATATATTTTTATTGTTATATTTAAAGCAGAATTCTGGCCACTTGCGGGCAGCACAACAAGCTTTAAATGCCACACTGACAAGCCAGCAATAAAACCACCTGCTTAATGTTACTTGGGGCCCTTTCACACTGCCACAACAGTTTTGACCTGTTGGGTCATGGACCCTGGCAACGCGACATTGCCCGAGGTTTACGTGGTCTTTGTTGAGTTGCATGGCAAAATCTCTTTGGATAGAACTTTCTGGTGCATCCTACAAATCCTCAGTTCGATTGTAGGCCGAGTCGGTGTCTTGAGCTCTTTGTCGTGTGCCTCGAACTGTTCCTGAGCAGTTTTTGTAGTATGGCAGGGCACATTGTCCTGCTGAGGAGTGCTGTTCCCATAGTGGAGGTGTGCTTGGTCTGCAACCATGTATATTTAGATGGTGTCAAAGTAACACCACCATGAATGTCAGGACCCAAGCTTCCTAGCAGAACATTGCATTGTAGGGAGATGATCAAAGTCAATCACTTCACCATTCAGTGGTTTCAATATTGTGGCTGAAGTCGTGTCACCTTACAAAGTTGATTGTGGTGTACAGAGCAACATTAGGCTTCATTTGGAATTGCGTTTCTGAAAATAATCAGTCTCATTTTAGTGAGGTTTTGGTTTCTACAAATAAAAATATATGACTGTTCAGCTGCTAAATGCTCCATTATGTTCACCAGCTAGTTACTAACTTTGTTTGGTGCTGAACAGCTAGTTTGCAGTCAGTTCAAATGAGTCTCTCAGCAACTTGGAGTCTGTAAATTATCAGTTTATTTGAGTATAAAATCACATCAATACACTTTACATGGACCATCTAACTACACAGATAATTTCTAACTATCAGGATAAACGTCATTTGGCATTTTAGCTAATAGTTAATGACATATTAGGTCATTTGTACCATCTACTGTGAGAATGTGCAAACACTCATCGGTCACACCGACCGTCAGCATTCAAACTTAGCAGGTCAAACTGCAGGTCATCTGAGCAGCAGAGTCAGACAAAACGCAGCGAGAGGTTGTCTTTGAGCTTACTTTTGCTTTTCCTTATAAACTGAAGGAAGCTTTTCATAGAGAGGCTTTTAAAGACACCAGCCTCTTATAGATGCTGTGTCATGGCTTCAACATGAGCGCAGGCAGCTCGTGTTTATTTTTGGCAGCTCGGGTAAAGTCCGTACATCGTTGGTGTGGGGTTCGCAGATGGCAGGGATGCCACAGATGCCAATGCCAGATTGACTATTTATACTCGAGACTTTATGTATTATTTGAACAGAAGATACAAGTAGCAAGGAAGTGTGTGTTATGCCACAGGTCAAGAATAGTGGGAGTGTCTTGTGTTGTGAGGGTTTAACAGAACATACCAGTGAGCCTGGGCTGTATGGGTGAGGCTGGTTCCCAGGGAGGCAGGGGTCAACCAGGAGGATGGGGTGTCACCTCAGTGGGGTGTGGCCAAGGGGACGCCCTGGTGAAATTCCTCAACAGTGCTTTCAGTTGCATTTTGAAGTGTCTCAGCAGCAAACTAGCACCAGTGATGTCCTGCGCCGGGGGTCTTTGATACCATCGTCGCCCTCCAGTCTTTAAATATCAAATAAATTCACGGACAAAATCATAAACAGTGATGCAAATGAATAACTGAACCCTCTGAACCCCAAAACCCGCCGGCAGGTTTGAAAGGCATGTGATCTTTAAAAAAAAAAAAAAAAAAATCTCCAGTGACTTAAAAAGTTCAAATTAAATTATTATATTTCATCAAAATCACTTCATTCGAAAAGTCTCATGAAAGAAAAATGTTTAAAAAAAACAAACATTTGTAATCATCGGATTCTTTTAAAAAGAAGAAGAAGAATAAAAATGTGCACTCCTCAAATTTCAAGGACTTTTCTGCAGACTTTGGCTGCAGGCTTTGTAAAAATGTAAAGAGTAAAAAATCTGTGGTGTGTAGAACCACTTTTTATTTTTCAAGTATTATTAATACCTGTGGGTACTTTGAGATATGTTGTACATGTTCCCGGTTTTATTCTCAGTACTCAAATATATTCAACTTCTTCTTCTTCTTTTTTTTTTTTCAATGATTTAAGGCATTATAAGTATTTCACACTGCACAATAGGCATTTTTGATTTCCATCTACTTCCAGCCATGATTGTGCTGTTTCCACAGAGGTTTAGGACTTTATACTGCAGTGAAAAATGAGACCACAGTGAGTGAAAATGTGACAGAAGCTAAAAGCACCCAGAAACTGCTTGGGGTTCAGAGGGTTAAACCTGTTAAAACCAGTGATGTGACATTAAGTTTCCAAACGGAGCTAAACCCGTGCGTTAGCGGACACCGGTGAGGAGACAAATCGTGTCTTCTGAGAGTAGATCAGGTCCGTCAAATAAAGTCCAAAGTTGACGAAGGAGAACACCGCCACCACAAGCTTGCTGTCCCACGGGCATTTCCCTCGTGGACATGACGACGGTCTCCATGGGGAGCCATATTTTGCGTCAAAACAGAACACTGGCCATATCACTGATGCACTCAGGTAGAGCAGCACCTTCAGGAGCGTGCACACCACCACAAAGCGATCAAAGGGCATGCAGCGCACCGCCTTGGTCCGCCTGCACACCGTCATTATGACCACCACTGCTGTCAGAGTGAAGGAGAACGCGTAGACCGCGACGCAGTAGATAGTGGCGGCATAATGGGAATACTGGCTCCCATTGGCCAGAGATCCAAAGATGATGCAGGCAACGAAGCCTTGAACCACTTTGAGAAGGCCGGAGACGGTGGCCATGTAGCCCACCACGATCTGGCCCGGCCTGGCTCGGCACAAGACCACCTCAGCCCCGTAGGCCAGAGTGCCCAAGATGGAGCAGACGGCAACAGCGATGCGGAAATCTCGGACCTCACAGCCGGCGTAGGGACACTCAGATCGGACGAAGAAGAGAGGATAAACCACAGAGGCCGTCACGTAGCTGCAGGACAGACAGAAAAATGGTGTTGGTAATATTTTAGTAAACCAGATGAAAAAAAAAAAGGTTCAGAGGGTCACAGCGGGATGAATACATATGAATTTTGTGGCTGTTTGTTGTGTCTGTAATGCATTCAATCAGAACATGGATAATAGGAGCTGTATACAGGAAGAAAATGTTAACGTCTGTCTCGGTTCAAGGATGGCAGCTACAGCTACTTATACAGGACTGAAACATTTGTTCAAATATTCCTCATGTTCCTTACTGGGATCACGTCATGGCGTCTGATCTAGCTCCAGTTAGTGATAAAGAACATGAGAAGTGTTTGCTCTGACAAAGCAAACAGATGTTACATTAGAATAATTTTATATTTAAATGTACATAAACGACACATACAGCTTATACAGGGATCTTGTTAACTGGTCCAATATTTGCTCTTATTTTGCTCTCCACCAGTATCTGGCTCTTTCACAGCTGTGGCTCAGGTTGGAGAGCAGGTTGTCTGCTGATTGCATTTAACTCCCAGCCCTTCCAGTGTTCTTGGGCAAACCATGGAACCCAAAGTTGGCATGCATGTGAATGGGAAACCTTGCAAAGCTCTTTATGTCTCACTAAGGTATAAAAGCGTTATATAAGTGCAAACTATTCAGCATTTGAGCTGCTAAATGTTCTGGTATACCAGCTTGTGAGGAGCCGACTTTGTCTTTCTGTCTTCTCGTGCTAGGCAGGTAACATAAACAAAGGGTTTATCAGAGGCTTAGCTTAGCTGCAAACAGCCTGATGCTGCTATTAAGGCTGATAAAATGGACCAAAAGAGTAAAACTCAAAAAAAAAAAAACCGAAGTAAAATGAGTCTGATGATAATTGTCAGTTAGTTAAACACTACTTAGGTAAAAATCTAGTCATTGACCTCGTTAACTTAACCATGTAAGTGTTTTTTGTATGCATAAGACATATCCTGAGCAAAAAAAAGCGGTGAATGCCACAGATGGGAACTTCCAGTGTACCAATGAGAGTCTCGAAAACACTGATTCAGACTTCCAAGGTTTCATACGTAACAAACCTAAAGAACCAATCTTCTCAACTTGAAGGGCAGGCCTGTCTGTATCATTATTCTTCCTTATGAACCGTTTGAAGTTTTAAAAGTGATGTCTAAGTTACTTATATATTGTAACTTGCCATTGTGTAGCAGTTTTGCAGTGTTGAAGGTGAGCTGGTGTGCTCGAGATGCGGTGGGGGGAGCAGTGGGTTGATGTGCAAGGTCTGAAGGAACCAACAGTGTAGAGTTACATCTAAGTCATCTTAAGGCAAAAAGAGATGATTGTCATGGAGAAAAGTTCTAAAAATGTGACTTTTATGCTCTGAAATTTGATTTTGGGGACTAAATCGAAGAGTATAGAGGAACTTTGATGTAAAAATATGGACTATATAGCAGCTTTAGGCATTTTCTAGTTACGGTATGACATTTTATGTGGTAGATTTTGACAGTGGACAACAGGTTTGTAACACTATAAAGACACCGTGAGACTTTTAGGCATTTTTAGCAATCTAACCTCAGTGCTCCACATGATTCATCAGTAGTTTTCCCCTTACGCTAAACAAGTCCCAGTCCTCTTCCAAGATAATTAAAAATTAAGTAAGGTTTGTGCCTCATAATTAATGTGTTAATCTCAGATGTGTTTGAGTCATGGATGAGTGGACGCAAATTTGCCTCATGTGGAGAAATGGATGCCTTGTGGGATGAGATAACAGCGAAAGGGGGCCCGGCGCAGATTCTTGTGTTTTCTATATCGCCTCAAAGACGGTTAACCCAGCTGAGGATCAGAGCCGAAAATGTGACTTACAGGAGCGTCGCAAAGGCGGCACATGTGACCGTGAGGTTGTCCCAGGACACAGGCAGGTAGCTGTAGAGACGAGTGGCGTCCAGGAAGAACACCAGAACTGTCATGGCGAAGCAGAAGCACCACGCCGCCATGCAGAAGATGCCGTGGGAACCGCTATAGCCGGCGCTGTGGGTTACCATGGCGATCACAGCACATCCCATAGCCAGCTGACAGAGACGGGCAGCACCCAGAGGTGAGAGGAGGGCCTTCCTGTTGAGGTAGGGACCACCCTGAGGATCCATGATGGGGAGGTCTACAAGAGGTAAACTTTCAGGGCCTCAGAGAGAAATCCAGCTGTTGCTCAAAACAGGTGATGTGGAGTTTCTTGTCTTAACAGTTTTAGGTTTTAGATGAAGTCCTGTGACGTTATCCAGCCTCTTGATGACATCTATCAGAAAAAAAGCAAAAAGTATTAGTTACTTTCATAGATTTGAAGTTCAGATTCCATTTCTAAATTAGCCCTGTGTGTGCGTTTACCTTATTTCTCTCTTGAAGCAGCCTCTCACGGCTCTTTCTTCTCCATCTGTGCTCCCTTCACTCACTTTCAGTTTCACTTTGTATCCCTTTGGCTGAAATTACACCACTGTCCCCAGCACTGCCTCCAAAGCCAGAACTTGTCTCTGCTTTTCTACTCAAATAATCTTCCAGCGTCCAAACACGTGGCAGGACATCCAGAGTGTTTGCAACGTTGCCCTTCTTCTTCTGTCCCTCAGCTGTGTGTCCAGACTTGTCAGGGACTTTCTGATGATCTTATTTCTGTGTTGATGAATCAGTTTGTCAAATGCAGACGAGATACATTTTCGAGCTCTTCTGTCAGAGCTCAAGCTGGTCAGACACTCACCCTTCAGCTGAGAGTTCACTCTGGTCATGTACAAATATCCAAACCCGGCATCGTGCAGCCATCAAACCAGGACAGGTACGTTAAAACTGAGGTGATCTTGTAGTTTCTCATGAGTTTTCTGGCATAAAGCTGCTACAGCGCTCCATCAGAACCTGGTCCAGGCCAACAACCTCATCTAAATGTCCAGACTCAGAATCTCCACGTGACATTTCCTGGATCATTTATGCAGACAATGTTCGTTTTCAGCTCTCATCCTCTTACTTTCTATCCGTCTAACGCTCTTCCTGACACACTTTCTCCTTCCTCAGTGTCCCTCCTTGTGCTGTGAGGAGGGGCACTGTCACACCAGAATGGAAGTTATTTGGGGTTGGGCCGTCACCACATGAGCGTCGGAGGCTCGTGTACATGTGGTTGGGCGTGGAGTCGGGGCATGCAGACACATTGCAGACCCTGTGGAATGAGGTGGGATAACCGACCCCGTGATGTCAAGACATGAAAACAGGATCGATGTGGGATACACTGATTACAGAAATATTCAACTTTTGGATGCATAGACGTGAAATGATCTGGGAGAAATTAGATTTCTCTAAAACCATACTCTCCTCATCACCACTTTGTGAGCCTTTTTAGTTTTTTGTCACCATTACATGCTAAACAAATAAGCTAGTATTTTAGATGAAGTAACACAAGGTAAACTGCGTGAGAGGGCATCTCAAAGTGTTCAATATTATATGAATAAATAAGATAAGAAATAATCAGATAAATAAACAAAAAAAAACATAAATGAACAAATGAATTGTGCAATAATATTTTAAATGATTTAAACTTACTTTAATTGCAAAATAATGATTATGAAATAAGATGTGGCGTGTAATTACTTTTTGTATTTCTGTTATTATTTGGAAAGTACATCAAGTTATCTCTGCAATACTGTTAATACCTGCAGATGTATGTCTGATTTAGCTGTTGTGTCGCGTTTAGCTGACTATCAGGCTGATCACATCCAATGTTCACCATTTTCCTGATTGCATTGGTATCATTATTATCTTTTTTTTTTTTTTAACCACATCTCCGATAAAATTATTACCTGTTTTTACTCTGTAATATGAACAATCTCCTGCCCACAGCTCTATCTGATTGGTTACACGTCACAAGTTATAGCCACTTGACAGTCAGAGATAAATGCTAAAAAGTTCTTTTTTAATTAAATATATATAAAACACAAACAAACAAAGGAATTTCAGGCAAGTTGTGTGTTGAGGTTTGTGTACATCTGAAATTTTGACAGTAAGATGTCAATCTTCTTGATGACTAATAATCGATTTTGGTATCGACCCTGATAAAACCATATTGGTCGTCTTGTTAAGTAGAAAAGGATGTGTCATTTCTATAAAAAGTTCAATCCCTTTCTTTTTTTGTCTTCATTGGGAGAGACTAAGATGTGAGAATAAGACACAAGTGAAGGAAACAAGGACACATTTAACAAAAATGAAATTCCTCCACTCAGCAACACAAGCTGTATCTTCATCTGACGTCTGGTACTGACTCTCCTTATTGCTCTGTTTGGGTCTCCTCCAGCTGCTGACACAAACTGCTGGTAAGCTGTGCACCATGTTCAGCAGCCAGCAGAGGGCATCCGGCTTTTATATTAGCTGCAGCTGGATGCAGGTTGATGAAGATGCACCTTGATCTAAAACTGACTCATTAACATTAACTGCAAATCTGGCGGATAACTGCTGTGAGCATGCTCCATCCAAAATATGAGATAAACAAATGACAAAAACCTAAAACAGAGAGGGACAATGACTAGACATCCTGACGATAATAACCTCAGTAGGGAGTAAATTATTGTTGTAAAGAATCACATTACACATCTTAGCCTATTTACATTAAATAAACCATTCCCCAGACGTTTAGTTATGTTTTACGTTGCTGAATATCTGCTTTTAGGTACTGACAGATGATAAAATTGGCAAAATCAGAAATGCAGTTTTCATTCTCGTCAAAGTTCTGGTATTATCAGATGATACAGACTGATTTGAAGTGATCTTAACCTTCATAGGCTGCTTTTATTGTAATTTTGGTTGCTAATCACATTTCTTTTTAATTATCAACTGATGTCGTTTTGACAATGAAGGTAGATGTTGTGATGTTTGCTATCTACAAACCCTGTCAACACTCACATGGCTTAAACCACGACTTTGGTCCAACCTTACAGTGGCAGCAGCAGCTATCAGAAGAGTCTGTTTTGTGTTCTGAGTCTATCACAGTAATTATTCCTTCAGCTTATAAACAGCAGATCTGTCCACAGGTCTCTGTCTCCACCTGCTGGTGGAAGACTGTCTGCTGCTCTACACGAGTTTAGACTGATGTTGTATAGTTTGACACCACTTGTTACTCCCTAAAAAAAGAACAGCTAAATACATAAAAAAAAAAAAAAACTTTAAATGTATAAAATAACTGCAGAATAATGTCACAATGTTGACTCGTGAAGAAAGTCTGCACTGTGTTATTAGCTGATACTTTAAGAGAAGGATAAAGTAAGCGTACTTAAAGAAATGTTTACTTTTTTCAAAATGTAAAGTGTTCTTACAGATTTTGTGGAGTATTAGTGCATATGTAGGAAAAAAGTTGATGAAAACTTAACGTGGCTTCAGAAAGAAGTGTGCAAAACCTATCTGTATCAAAAGTTGGTTGGAACTTAAGACCATATGTCAAAAAAAATTAAGAAAAAATAAATCTGGGATTGTGGAGTTCACCAGACGTCCTTAGTCTTTGATAAGGAAGTGCAATTTCCACTTATTATCCCTGTAAACTTGTCACCAGGGTCCTCAACATTGACATTACTATCCTTAAAGGTCCCATATTGTGCATTGTTTCAACAAATTTATGAAAGTCTCACATCTACAAAATGGGTCTTTCAGTGTTTCAGTTCAGAACACTGCAAAGATGGTTCAGTTCACCACGACTAAATAATTCCTTATTGTAGTTTTGTTCTCAACAGGCTTTTTTAGTGTCTTCAGGAAAAAGACTGTCTGCAATTGACAGTGCAGAGTAAAACAGTTCATTGTCCAGCTGCTGACACAAACATTAGTTGTGTGAGATCAGGACTTTCTATCATATCGCTGGTTTCACAGCAGAACCAGATAAATCTGAAAGTGAAAAAAGATTTAATAAGAATTTGACTACATTTAAATGCAGTATACATGAGCACAGAGAGCAGGAGCGAAGGAAACTGATGCAAACACAGACTGAGGTTACGAGCCGTACGAAAACACATTTATCCACCAAGTTCTTATTTACTGGTTTCACATTAGCCTCAAAGTTTCCACCATCCCTGAATGTCCCTTAGTTTTACAATTTCCAGAGATCTGACCTGTGGGCCTACAATCAAAGCTACCTTCAGCCACATTAGCCAATCACAGCCCGAGACGTTAGCTAACATAACGCTAACGACTACATCCATCATCCATTATCTATACACCCCTTAATCCTCACTAGGGTCATGGGGGGCTGGAGTCTATCCCAGCTGACTCAGGGTGAAGGCAGGAGACACCCTGGACAGGTCACCAGTCTATCGCAGGGCTACACTTAGAGACAGACAACCAAGCACATTCACACCTATGGACAATCTAGAATCATCAATTAACCTCAACATGTTTTTGGACTTGAGGGAGGAAGCCGGAGAACCTGGAGAGAACCCACGCTGCACGGGGAGAACATGCAAACTCCACGCAGAAAAATCCCGGTACCCCCACCGGGACGCAAACCGGCGACCTTCTTGCTACAAGGCAACAGTGCTTACTAACTGTTCCACCTTGCAGCCCTAATGAAGACATATACAGCTTATGTAGTCGTTAGCATTAGCTCTTACTCTGGTCAGGACAAGCCTACTAAAATAATGAGTCATCACAAGAGAGCAAAACAAAAAAAGAAAATAACAGTGTAATATTATCAGCATAATAAATAACAGAAAAGCTAGCTAGATAGGTTTTTAACTTCTTCGTTTTTCTTCTGGCTAAAAAGTGATATGACCACAATGAAAGGAGGCCACAATAAAGTGACTAAAACTGAATTTTCTGAGTTTAAACACTGAAACATTTGGGATGATGCAAGTACCCAAATCAACAAAACAACTTTTTTTTTTTAAAAAGACATCTTAATGTGGAAATGTTCCATGCTATATCTTTAAACAGTTAAGAATCAGAACATACCATTATACAATACATTTTAAAAACTAGCTATAGTATGTTTAAAGTTCATCTCAATCTTGTGATAAACACTGACGCTCAACCTTTAAGCCAACACGAATGATTAGCTTCTAAGAGTTCTGAAAAACAGAAATTTGAGCATCCACTGCTGCAATCAGAGCAGCTGCTAAAGTTAAAGTTTGTTTTGTCAAGTGGTGGCGTAATTTCACTTCAAATGCAACACGAGACACATTTTTTTTTTGTACAACAATCTTTATTCACTTTGTACTACATTTTCTTCTCGGCACTCTCTCTTGCCAGCAATCGTATGGAATGAAACACAGCATTCTTCTCAGCAATTCATGTAATTCACCTGTTTGTCTCTTTACTTTCACCATTCTAAAACCTAGGTTAGTGCAGGCGTCCTCCACGATGGAATAAATCCACTGTGGTCGCAAAGTTGAGCCTCTAAGTGAAGCGTAGCAAAGATGTAAGTGCGTCAGTCTGTCGTGGTCATTCCTCCATCCACACACAGCAGAAGTCTTATTTCTTACCTGTGCAATAAACAGAAAAAAAAATCAATGAATAGTTGTGCTTTTTTTAGCCCTTGTATTGCTTTAAAAGAGGAATGATTCTACCTAGAAAGTGTACAGGCTTTTCTGAGATATCATTTCAGACACAGCTCATCAACACTCACATTCTGATCAATATGAATGTTTTTACTACAAAAATGAATAATTTATGTCCAGAAAAAAAAAAAGCATGTTGCTTACGAACCAAAACTGACACAGCATGCAATGAAAAACAAGCACTGCATCATCCAGTTGGGACTGTTTCTTGAAAACACACTGTGCAACATGAGCCTTGCAAAAAAATCCTGTCAACGCGACATCAACACAATGCCAGTCATCACAATGTAGGAAGGAGCAGACAGGGTTTTATTTAGGAGATATTAAACTGTACAGGAACGACACAAAGTCCGCAGAGGGCCGAAGAGCACTGACTCTGATACTGATTCCTCCCAGGACGCTTCAAAACACTCGGGCATGTCAGTGTTAATACGTTCAGTAACGGACAACCAGTTTCAGACGGACTCTGTTCACTGTGTGTGTGTGTTTGTGTGTGTCCTCTGTAGTGGTCCACACATGGAATCTATAATTCCTGATGCAGCCCCCCTCCCCTCTGTCTTTTTCTTTTAACTTTCCTCATGAAAGAGAAAACAGCCACGAGACGTTCATGGACACACACAGAGATCAGCCAGAAATAAAATGCGCACAAAAACACAAACAAGACGGAGAGAGAGAGAGAGAGAGAAAAGGCAGCAATGCTCTGAACAAAAACATCAATACGGCGACCGCCAGAAACACCACAATAGAACAACAGAAAAGCTCTTTGCCTGGACGGACCGCAGGGACTCGTGCTGTGTGATGTGGCCCAGCAGCAGGCTCCCACTCTGGGCATCGAGTGTCTGTAGTGGTCTCCTGGACCGGAGGGGGGGCGGGGGGTGACCATCCTGAACTAATTGGTTCATCCTAACATGCATCCTTATCTTTTGAGTCATCAGGAATTCTGCTTTCAAAAAGCCACGTCCTATTAACTGCGGTTTTGGGGTTTCGTGTGTGTGTTTGCCATGACAAGAATCGTGTGGCTCAAAGCCTTCTGTTCTTTCTCCGCAGAAAAGAGGAAGTGAGGACGGCTGGGGGGGGGGTTGAAGTACTTGTTTGTTGTTGTATTGAGTGCATGTGGGTGCTTTCACACCTAACTGGTGTGTTCACCAGTTCGCTCGGGCTGGAGTGAAAGCTGTCGATTGAACCCGAGCCCTGGTGTGGGCTGAAGATGGTCAGAAAGAAAACTGGGTCTTTGAGTTGGATTCTGGCGTGTTTGAGGTGTGAAAACAAAACAGGCCAACCGGACAATTTTGTGACAGCAGATATTTGTTTCAGTTCAAAAGCTGTGTTCATATTAAACCCATGTGCTGATCGCAAACTGACAGGGAGGCGTCTGTATAAGCTGCTGCACTTACATGAACAGGGACGAAATATTTTTGTTTTAAAAAGTCGGGGTTGAACATGCTGGGAATGTAGCTGGAATTAGATCCAGTATCTCTTCTGCTTGGTCTCTTTAACGTGTGTATTATTAATGTAGCTCATAGAAAACACGACTACGACTATCAGCGACTGAAAGTTTTAACAAAATGTGTAAACCCTGCCTGGGTTAAGTTAATGTCAGAGTATCTGCCGTTCTCAGCAAAGCTTTTACATGAAGCACTTGAGATGCTTCAGTCCAGTCTATGGTGTTTGCTGTAATACTGTGGATGTAACTGAGTCCAGATGATTTAACATATTTGATAGATGTGTCTGTAGAGAACAACGTTTTCTCTTTGTTTATTGTTTGTGTTGAGCCAGGGGTAACATTTATACACATATATGTTTGCCTTTGTTTTTTCTGTCCTTTGTTAAATACAAAAGCAAAAACCAGTAAACAAACTTGGGGGGGGGGGGGGTGGAGTCATTGTAACACAGCCACTACAGAGAGTGATGGATTATGGATTGTTTCTGGCTTTAACATTGCTGAGCTAAGTTTGTTTCAGTTGCAGTCGTATCGGTGAAGAAGCTTGTGTTTTGCTGCGACGGAAAAAAATGAATACCCTACAAGCAAAAACATCGTCAGTTCAAGTCTGAATAATGTATAATGGTAATTCTGAAACGATTTGCCATTTGAGTTTCTTGACCAAAGCACACTTTGACGGAAGGAGCCGAGAATTAAACCACCAATCCTTCAATTCGCTGAGCATCTACCTCATTAAACTAACAGCCCCTTTTTCAGACTCCTTTTTTAAAAGTCTCACAACAACTGAACGGGTGGCTTTTTTTGGTTCAGATAAAGCAAACATTAGGCCACGGTAGCCTTTGGGTGCATGTAGTCACGTGGTAGAATTGTGTTCTTCTCTACTCAGCTTCAGTTTTTGTGCAGCCAATGTCTCTTGTGTGTTTTTGAGATTTGCTCAGTTCACTAAAACACACGATTGTTGAGGATAACGTCCTGAACAGCTGTAACATGAGAAAAAAAAACACATCTGTAGGAACACTCTCTTTACACGCTGGCTGCCATGTTGTAATTTGAAAATTCTGAGCGCATAAATTATACGTTATAACTGTCCAAGTTGACGTGAATGGTCCGTATCATGTGTGTACTGTTGATCTATCCATGACTGTGGTGGGCATCTCTTCATGAACCCAGGGGTCTATTTCTCAAGATCTCTCACGTCAGATAATACATTCACATGAGGTTCAGTAAAGTGCTGCATCGCCAATGAATGAGTTGCCTTCCAGCCTCTCCTCTGCTGATGATTTATGTGTACAAAGCCAGTGTGAACATGATCATTTTTATTACTTGACCTGGACCACCTCAACTGAAGCACAGGTGTGGAAACTCAAGCTCAGTGTGCGTGTGTTCTCTGACCTGGAAGTTTGAGCCACTTTGGCACCTTCCCCGGGTCAGATCTGGTGGGTTTAGCAGCCTGGGTTTGCGCAGACGGGTCTTGTCCGTCCTGCGTGGACCCACTGGTGTTCGCTGTGGGTTCTTGTGGCGGCGGCGGCGGCGGCGCTGGCTCCTCGAAGCCCACAGAGCCGGAGGGGGGCGTCGGGGACCGGAGCATGCAGCTAAAGGTAGGAAGAAAGAACAAGAGAAACAACAACAACACAAAAAAGTTTTAATCGTGTCACCGGAACAGATGCTTTGGAGTTGGAACAGGATGTTGTTTTGTTTAGGAATCTGTGTATCTGCTTAAAACAGCATTATGTTTCTGGCAGAGGAGCAGAGCCCAAGTTAAACGAGATAAAGATCTAAAACAGAGGCGGAGTGATGACCTTGTTAAAGAAGCAAAAGGACAACAGATGGGGGTCACGTTTGGGAAACCGGCTCTATCTTTAGAAGGACTGGAAAATGGTTTGTGTGTGTGTGTGTGTGTGTGTGTGTAAGAGAGAGAATCTGCATGCGTGTGTGGAGGAAATGAGGGCGCATGGGGGCACCTGCTGTTTAGGCAGAACCTCAAAGGGATTCCAATGATGACAGCTTTGTGACAGGAAAATAGGCTGGTTGCCGCAGGATACAAGTGCATATGTACACACCCAAACACACACACAGCCCGGCGCACATTTAAACACACACACACACACACACGAGTGCACATACCTTGCAATGGACTCATTTGCTTGCAAGGCGGAGACAGAAGATTCGAGCAGTTCTCTCTTTATGTAAAAATCTGTGGAGGAAGCACACACGCACACAATGTAAACTATTGTTTTGCTAAATTACATTCCTCAGTAATACACCAGTATCTAATTCTAATCAGCATATGAAAGAAAAGGAACCAAAAAGGACAAAAACCTGTTTTTACGTCGGAGCCAAAGTACACTAACGCGCCAGGAAACAGGTCGGCCTACGAGCACAGAAAGAGAGAGGAGGAGTGAACAGAAGCCTTCAAAAATGTTTGGCACACATGTCAATTTCTGCAAAACAAGGAAATATCCAAACAAAACTGCCTCCTGCTACACGCAAGCCGAGTGCCGCCACCACATCCAAGCAAAAGTCAAGTTCATTTTGGAGGATGATTCATTGCTCGGGGATCTGAACCAGTAACCATGTTTCTTTGAAGAAGACCACAAAATGAGCACCAATCAAATGGTTAGAGAAAACACTTTCACCCCTGAAGCACCACATTCCTCTCGGTGATAGTCTTAATGGTTATAATGGACCAGTCGCAGGCAGATATTATCAACCGTACAATTATGAGGTAGAAACACAGACAGGCAGGCAGGGCACGAGTCTGTCACTCTAATAGAAAGGAAACATTTACGGCACAAGAGAGCTCGTAGGCAGAAGTTAACGATTTCAGTCAGTGGTCATCATGCGGCCAAAAAAAAAAAAAAAGGATTTTATTCTCGTGAAAAAGATCCGGGAAAAGGAGTAACAGCTGCTGCTATTCCCGCTTTTACTCTTCCAGTTAGCATATATTCTTAGCTTAAGACTGAACCACAACACTAAAACCACCTGCCTGCCTAATACTGCGCACCAGAAGAGCATTGATTTGTTGGGTCAAGGTCACAAGACCTCTGGGGCAATTGGTGGTGGATTCTTTGGGTCCTGTGGATCAGATTTGTTCCGATGCATCCTGTGGAAGCTCTGTTGGATTGGGATCTGAGGAATTTGGAGGCTGGGTGAACACTTTGAGCTCTTTGTCGTGTTCCTTTTGAGCAATTTTGTGGTGGGAGGCATTGTCCTACTTTGTGTGTGTGTGTGCTTGGTCTACAACGATGTTTACGTGTCAAAGTAACCCCACATGAAAGCAGGACCCAAAGCTTCCCAGAAGAACATTTCATTGCAGGAAGACGATCAATGTCATTCACTTCAGCTGTCCATGCTTTCATTGTTGTGGCTGATCAGTTTACATACACAAGATAAACCTCTGCAAATAATTGTGTGGGCTGTAGCAAAGTCCCGCCACTTGGCAGCCATCTTGGCATCATCCCCAGGCAGTTATTTTGGGCTAACAAGACCAGGTTCCTATTTAAATGAAAGGGGGGAGAGCCAGAACTGCAGCTTTAGTCGTCACAGGAGCATAAAAACTGCATGTGTTGATGCACCAGTCAAATGTGATAAGAGCACCTTGAACATTTTAGTGACTTTGTCTGAAAATAAGGTTTAAAAAAAAGTGGTTTTCCAAGCAGGTCATACTTCTACTACACACATACAGCTTCATGACTCTGCACTTTGGTCAGTACGACAACACGGTTGGTTGGATGTTTCTCGGTTTAGGAAACAGATGATTGGATGTTTGGGGGGGGAAAGACTGTTATGGAATTCAATCATAGAATTATAGTGAGGATTCTTTCAGTGGTGAGCATCTTCCTTATAACTTCTTGAGTAGTGGTCTAGTAGTGGTAGTATTTCAAGAATCCTAAAAGAATTTAACTGTTTACCACAGACAAAAACACCAGCAAACATTTGGGAGAAAAGTGACATCAACCCTCTAGATATAGAGATTAACAAATCCTTCTCCAAATAAGAAGTTCATTGTCATGCTCCTATCTTACAGATTAAACACCCTGACAAGTTCTTTCAGCCAGATAATCAGATGTTTCTTTGCAGTGAAAGTATGTGTGAAACAGGCAGAATGACGCTGCTCCATTTAGGCGTCCCAGTAAATGAAGAATCACATCGAATCTCTTTTGTGATTTTCCTGCAATGAGTCGATTACATGCAGCAATCTGAAGTATCTAGTTTGGTTTCAAAACTAGTCAGCTTGGGTCAATACAAAGTCAGCGGGAGTCTGTATTTTCCAAGTTATCAGGCTATTGTTAGCTTAATAGTAGCCTCGCTTTGCCAACACATTCTGTGAAAGATAATGGTCTGGCTGCATCTCACAATCATCCTGCTATTGAAGGAACAAAACACTCTGGCTTGTTTGTATTTCTTTAAACAAATCACAGTTGTGGGTTTTGTGTTCTCTCAAAATAGTGATGAGTTGATCGGTTGATTCAGGGATCAAAATTGCTATCCCGATACCAGCACAGACACTAAATATTCGGATATTCTGCAATTCAGGTCCAGCCCCAGTGAATAATCCACCCAAAGAAACTATCAGGGCTGCTTTACTGCAATTATTACAACTCCTCGACAAAACTTAAAATTTTCAGCGTGGTAGTTTGGAACCCAGGATGTTGTTGATGTAGTTTCCCTTTAGTAAAGACAATTTGAACCTACAAATAGAGGGAAGGAGACAGTTGCCTGAAATGAGCAGCCAATGGGCGTTCTCTAACTACATCCAGTGAGTTAGAGGAAAAGGGGCTCCCATGTTATTCAGTCTCAGTTACAACTCAAATACAATGTACATCATAATTCTGACCAGGAATGTAAGAAAAAATGAATACATTTACAGAGAAAAAAAAATGCAGATACCAGAAAAAATAACAAGCTAAAGATAGGCTACTATTCAAAAGCAATTAACATTTTTTCTTCTAAACGACAATGAAAACAGCCGCATAACCAAAGGAGTCATTTAACAAACATCATCAAATACTTTTTTCGACTATCAAAAAGATCCTAATCATGTATTTTTCATTTAACTCATGGAAATACCTTCTTCAATCCACCGGATTTAAATTCAGACCTGCTCTACTGTTGCCGATGGCCACTCAGAAATACATAAACATCTCCCAAACACAGTGAATTCTTGCTTCGATAAGCACTTTAAAGCAAGCTGATAAAACCTGCAGTGCTGGTTGTCATTGTCAAACTTGAAGCTATTGTTTGAAATAAACTAAAAACTTTCATGTTAAATGAAAATGGGGGGCGAGGCATCATGGACTCTCGTCTATTCAGTAGTGAAAATAATGGCTAGCTGCAGCAGGAGTGCCATCAACGAAACTCCATACTCTGATAACGGGCGGTTTAAAACAGAGGGCTGTTGCTGGGGTCCGCCGGGTTTACCCTCCACTATGACCCGTCTCACACACACTGTCCTTTCTCTGTCTTTTGTGTAGCCGATTGCTAAATTGGGACACACTGGCCTAATTGCTATTATCGCAGCTCTGTGAGCAGGAAACAATGTGTTACAGCGGAACAACGGGCATTCCTGCTATCCTGCTCCCACCGGCACCGGCACTTCCAGTCGGGATAAGACGGGCCAATGGGACGAAACCTGTGTATGTGTGTGTGTGTGTGTGTGTGTGTGTGTGTGGGTGTGTGTGTGTTAGAGAAAGAAAGAGAGTGTGTAGAAAAACACAGAAGAGAGGAATGGAGAAAGAAAAAGAGGCAGAACGGATCCTGATGGAAGACAGAGGGGGGAGACGGATGAGGGAGGGGACGCCTGGTATCAAAGGGCTTCTGGGTTGGGAAACATTCCTTTCCTGACATGACACAAAGTGATTAAAGTGTGCGTCTGTGTGTGTGTGTGTGTGTGTGTGTGTGTGTGTGTGTGCGTCTGAGAGAGAAAGACACATGCATGTGCACTCATGTCTATGTGACACGACAACAAAAAAAAAAAAGATTAAAGATTCCTTGTGTGTGTCCAAGATTGATGTATAGACAGGAAAACAGAGCCAGACAGTGTGTACGCGTGTGTGCGTGAAACGACATCGAGGGGATTAAAGATTTTGTTTTTGTGCTCTTTAACGCTTTTAAGTCCCTAATGGATAGAGACACATGGGGGTGAGGAGGAGGAGGAGGTTGGGGGGTGAGGCACAAGAGAGGGCCGGAGAGAGGGAGCGTATGGGTGCTGGAGTTGGGGTACAGGAGAGGGACGAGTGGTGGGGGAAGAAAAAAAAAAAAAAACAGGCGGTGAGAGTTCAGAAAGGGACAGAAAGATGAAAAACAAAGAGAGACGGTCGACTTACATCAGAACATCAGATGCGATTCAAGAGAGATCGTGGCACCAGAAGGGGCACATAACACAGACACGTTTCAAAGTGTGCTTTTGAGGATTGTTATCTTTTTGTAGAGGTCCCTCTGAGGAGCTGAATCGTGTTCATCATCCCCACACGACACCACTTCAAACAACTTTCTCTTCCTCCACTTCTTCTTCTTCTTACGTGTGCTTCAGGTAGAGTCAAAGTGTCAACTGAGGAAACGGGAGGTGGCGATGACGAAAATGTGCTAGTTATTCTAAATTAATGTATCTAAAAATAAAAGGAGCACGAGGGTGTTGAGGTACGGAACGATCAAGCGCGGCGGAGATTCTTTATTTGCATCTCCTCACTCTTGACGGTTTCGTTATTTGAATTGCTCTAAACTCAAAAAGGCAACACAGCATCAAGGCTGCCCATTGCTCCGTGTGTGTGCGTGTGTGTGTCGAGATCAAAGCGAGGCCTGTATTAACCCCATGTGCCAGTCTGGGAAAAATCAAGCCCAGCTGGGGTCAAGGACAGTGGAGAGGGGGGAACAAGTGTGAGTGGAAGCGGGAGAAGGGGGGGGACGGGAATGTGGTGGGGCTTTGAAGAGGAGAGACGGACCAGCCGATGCATTTTACAGTTGGAGGCTTGTAGTTGTTGTTTTCTGGTGTTTGACTGTGATGTGGTTTGTTTGAGCCAAATCGGCCATTTTATGATTGAGTTTCAAATGGGGCTCTGTCAACACGCTTTAAAAGGGCAGTGTGATAAATCTTACCTGGAAAAGTGTAGCTGAAGGGTCACTCAGGATAGTTTTTGGAGGGGTGATGACTGAAAGAAAAGTTTTGGAAAATGGAAGAAATTACAAACATGCATTGCAAACACAGGGAAGTTCACTTGGACATAGAGAACATATACCTAACAACATATGTACGTATGTCAAGATTATCCAAAAAAAAAACACTCATCCAAGAAATTCTTCCTTTAAATATGTTATTGTACATTAAAAAGGCTGAATCATCAGAGTTTCAGTAAAAAGCAACTGGATTTCTCTTTCTCAGACTTTGTAAAAGCCTGTTGGATGCAAGATGAAAAACCAAAAATAGAAGCCCAGTTGCTCTTTACTAAACCTCTGCGGATTGCCCTGGATGACCAAGAATCTACACAGACAAAGGCTGAATCTACTTTATTGCTTTTTCAGGAAATGGAGTAATTTATTTCCAAAGTAAAACAGCTCTAAATACAGCCATAAGATGCAACATTTGGCTTGTAACTTTTAAAGTTAGTTTAAAGAGGCCTAGAAATGCACATCAAGATATAAATGTTAAAGTTTTGTTAATACGGAGATGCTACACGTGGTTAGATTGGTTAGATTCTCCATAATTCAACTGTTCACTTCATTTCATGGAAAGTCCCGAGCTTCTGTATGGTTAGGCCAAGAGATCTGGAATTTCATACAGGTGTGGTCGACAAGATGAAGAAAGTATGCGGCGATTTGCACAGTTCTGGCATAAAATATGACTTATTATACCAAAGGGAAAAAAAACAAAACATTTTTGAGTCATGTTTGAACTGATGTAGTTTAGTTTGTGTTTTAACCACATTCTAAGCAGAAACCAGAGGATGTTGCCTTTCAGATGAAGCCTCATTGCAGCATTTTGGCTCAACACAACTCAAAATCTGCAAAATGTAAGTTAGGAAAGCTGTCAAAGTCCAAGTGTTTCCAGCTTATTCTGGCTTGGGTTATATGTTTTTTAGTTTTGGTCAGCATTTTTGGTTTTATTGTTGCCTTTATTTGATAGCTGACACTGGAGACCAACTTGAAACATAGGGAGCAATTTGGAAGATGACATACAGTCGTGACTCGATAATCCGACCCTTAACAATCTGAAAACCTTGCCATCTGACAGGTTTTTAGGAAAAACACATTGAATTCCGACTACGACATGACATTTTATTTCACAAATAAGGCTAATGGTGTATTATCTGACTTAGCAATCCAACAGTTTGGCTACGTTCAGATTGCAGGATTTAATGCTCAATTTGGATTTTTTTGTGAAATCCGATTTTTTTGCAAGTTCGGTCACATTTCCAATCAAATGCGACTTGTATGCGATCTGCTGTGTGAACTTTATACGACCCAAAACTGTCCCGCATGTGCAGAAGAGGACACAATGACGTCACGCAGCGAGCGTGCTCAGTGTTTACGGAAGTAAACATGGATGGTGGATACAGAACTGTGACCGCTATCCTAAACTAGCATCAGCAGCCAAGTACTGCCTGTGCGTTCCGACCACTTCCACTCCGTCGGAGCGCTTCCCCGGGATGGAAGTGTCCCCCCCGATTGTGCCAAATATTTGGATATTCATCATTAATTGGGCCTGAATATCCAGAGACCAGAAAGTGCTATTTGGACCAGCCCTACTAGTTATTATAACAACTACGAATAATAAATATTAACAACAAATTACCCTTCAAGCATCAAGCCCTCCTTGTATCTCGACCTCCGTCGTGACAATCCGACAGCCTTGCTATCCGACATAAAAGAAGGTTTTACATTTAGTGTTGGATTATCGAGTCACGACTGTATTTCACATCCCATCAGAATCGAGCCAGAATATTGGTATTTCATGGTATGCATTTGATGACTAGATTAATGGCTAAACTATTGACTTGTTTACAGCCTATTTTATAATCTAACCCCATCTTTCCTTGTTCGAGCAATGTTGGGCTCCAGATCCTAGAAATCTTAGCAACTGAAAAGACTTTGCGTGATAAAACTGACAGAAATCTTGATCAGAGCTGTGATCATTACACCTGGATTACAATAAGATTTGTCTTTAATCAGGTTAACCATTAACTCACAGAAATATGGTTCTATGACATCTTTAAACTTCCATATGGTGAATTTTGATGCTTGACGATGTTGTGACTGATTAGTGGGGAACTGAATGACACTTACACAGGTAGAAGCTGAGCTGAGGATCCTCCAAGTGACTCCTCACAAACTGCCTCACAGCACCGACTGGACACAAAACACAAACACAACATCAGCTGCAGCGTGAAACCAACTGACCCGTCTGCACCAACATCAATCGCCGCGTGGAGTGGAATTCATTTTTCACAAGGAATTTCCCTCCAATTTGTTGTTCTGCCGGTTGTCGTGTTGCTGTTGGGGCTGAGGTGCATCTAATCCCTGGAATTACAGACCTGTCTCATTCTTTCTGTCTCTGTCACTCTGGTGTGGCTACAGTCATAATTGTGGTGAGCCAGCCGCAAGTAGCTTTCACATTGCAGCCATACCTGTGGCTAGCCGGCTGAAATGAACACTCTGCGCACACAAACACAAGCAAACACGCACACACACACCTGTCTCCAGAGGCCTGAAGAAACCCTGCAGAACATGTCTGTCTGGAAACTGGACCCTCAGGACCACCTGGAGACGCACAGTGGCAGCGGGTTATTTATAATCTGTATAATTTAAAACAAAGATGATACAAAAACAGGATTATGCATGTGTAACTTATACCCACTTTGGGATATCTATCCATCTTCTCTTTCATCTGTGCTTCTCTCAGAGATTTGGTCATAAGCGGCGCCTCCTCCAATAACTTCCTAAAGAAATGACAGACAGAGAGACAAACCGAGTTAGAGCGGAATAAGCTGTGACAAAGAAAAAAAGAGACTGTTTCATGAAAAAGATGAGCGCAGAAAAGAAAGAGTCAGTGTTTCGCCCTCTGCCCTTACTCGTGTGTGGCCGTGAATGCGTGTCAGAGGCAGAGACAAATTGCTGTGGTCGGCTTAATTCCACCCTTAGTAATTGCAGTCATTGACATGGTAGTAGTGTAGCCATGAGGCAGCCAGCTAAGTCAATGTAGACGGAGATTAAAGGATGTGCGCGGTGAGGTCTCAACCTGACGGTGTTTGGTCGATGGCTGGAAGATAAACGTCTACACAAAACAGAATTACTAATTGCTCCCAGTATGCCGTATTTAGAAGCTTTTGTAGTGTGTGTGGTGTCTTATAAATGAGAACATGTTTGCAAACACACACAATGTCTCAACAGCTGTGGTCTGCAGCGGCCACATCCAGAGAGCGCAGAATAAACTTGTACGCATCTGTTTTGAAGAAGCGCTCATAAATAAATAAAAACTTCAAACTCGCGAATAAAAAAACTTCAAAACGCACGCAGTGATGCCCGGCATTCTCCCTGCCGATGGCCTCTCATCATTGCTATGGTATTCTGCAATTAAGGGTTACACATCGACAAAACACCGCAGGACCAATTGCCAAACTGACTAATTATCTGTTACAAACAGTGCAGGAACACATCTGATCCAGGCGTGTTTCTGCAGCAACACGGTATTTATACTAAATATCGCACACACAAGTCAACTCAGCCGCTTCCACCCGATTCCTCCTCCTCACCTCTCGCTCTTCAGCTGGGCGAAACGCTTCCGGATATCGTCCACTGTCACCTCGAAGAACTCGTCGGGCAGATCCCCGTGGTGGTCCTCGGAGTGACGGGACATTGAGTCCAAGTGGTAGATAAGAGGCTCCCTCTCCACCGGCTGCAGAGACACAAGAGTTTCCACGCAAATGTTTTCCTCTACAGCACCCTCAAACATCGTGACTGTGCTTGTATTTAGCACAAGTGTGGAATTAAAGAGTTAGTTCTTCATATCGAGACCGAAGCTCATCCGGGTTGAAAATCCACAACTAGGAACACTGATAAACTGAAATGTCCTACTTCTGACCAGAAACAAAGAAGTTTACCTCCAAGAACTCTTCTCCATGATCCATGTCATTGTCTTGCAAGTTGGAAGTGGCTTTACACTGTTAGAGAAGGAAAAAACGGTCAAGTTAAACAAATTATCAATCACAATGAGCGTTCAATCTCTAGTTGTATGTTCGAGAAGAAATCAGGAAAATTAAAATAACTTAAAATTTCATGAAGCCGACACGAAGAACGTCCCAATACAGAACACTGTCAAGTTTCCAGTATCAAAAATATGCCAAAAATTCAGTTTGAAAAAAAGTCTTGATGCAAAATTTACCAAACAGGCTCAGAAGTTGACTCAGCTCAACTTTGGAGTCAACCAGATTAAATTTTCTTCCTCTACAATACAGAACACTGTAAAAACAAGATTTATGCAGTTTTGTATAGTTTGAAATCAGCCTCTTTATGTAAATAAACAAACAAACAATAAAGCCATTTCACTTCAAAGATTTTTGGATATTAACCATGCGATCTACTTTTCAGACCCACTTCTCTGCTTTGGCAATCTGAGACCAAAAGTCATTCTTGACTTTGGAAGCAATTTGGAAGCAATTTTAGTGCAAAGGACCATTTAATAGCAGCTCTGTAGCTTTCAAGCAAATCATATGTTCTTCATTAGAAAAGGCAGATCATCAATGATTAAGTCAACGTGAAAAATAATCCTTGACGTGCTCAAAAATGTAAAAACATCTACAGTTCCACGACAGGTGTGCAAACAATCTAGTATTGACGTTGTTTCTGTACTTGGCAGGTTTATTTATGTTTTATAGCAGAACAAGACTTCCTCATCCTAAAACCCGTTACCATGACTGACTTCCGCTGGACTTTCGTGATGCTGTAACTCACCTTGCTGCTTGAACTGTGGCTGGATTTGGCTTTCTTGGCTTTGGGGGATTCTACTGCAGCAGTCAGAGCTGACAGTGATGACGATGACGATGAAGACAGTGAGCGCCCACCTGCTCCTCCAGGACCCCCGAGGCGCTGACCACCTCCAGAAAAAGGGATGAATGGAGCCAAGGGAGCGGAGGAGGAAGATGGCTGACAGTTTAGTCCTGAAGGCCCTGCTTCCTCTCTATCTGCCTCCGGTGTTTGTCTTCCTGTGGGAGGGACTTTAGGCCGAACTGCATCCTGGGAGTTTGGAACATCTGCCTGCTGAACAGGAGGTGTGGCGGTGGCCATTACAGGGATTGGTGCGGGTACGGTTTCCATTGGCGAATCGGGGCTTGAATTTTTAATTGGCACAGTCGTGCTTGACGCCTCTGGGAGTGATGGAGCAGGATCGGGCTGAGGCAATAGGCTAGGCGTGGTTTCCTTGGCAACAGGTGTGGTTGGCATAGCAGCTGTTTCAGTTTCATCTTCCTCTCCTGGTGTTTTGTCCTTTTTGAGCAAATATCTTAAACAGAAATTGCAATTACTTCGCCACAAGTATTAACTTTTTTTTTTTTTTTTAAATCAGATTTTATGTCACTCTTTATTCCACATGTAAATAACCACTGAGTCTTTAGCAGTAGCTACTACTGCTGACTGACACTGTATTGAACTCCTTTATCTTGTGTGCAATGGTTTTATGGTGTGTTTAATGGTTTTAATGGTTTTGTTGTTGTTGTTGTTTTTATTTTGTAATGGCCTTTTAACTCTAATACATCAAGCAGGAATGGCCGTCCAAATCTTGTTATACTGTGAATACAATTACAATAAAGGCTTTATATATTATTTCTATCCAGCTCTTCATACCACAATAGAGCCACACCAGTCTGCTACATGGCCGGTTGCGTTTCCACTCATATCGAACATAGAAATACACATGAGGGAGCAGCAGCTGACACTGTAGCACCGTACTGGTGATTACAACTACTCCAATTACAACTGGTTTAATTATGAATTACAAAGATGGGGATGATGAAGAATCTCCAAGGACATTCTCTTCTCAAACCAAACATTTGTTTCAGGCACCACTTGTTTTACTGGCACGTGTGCAGTTGGCGTGCTTGTAGTGCGGACAGTCCGCGTGGTCGCAAATTATGGATTGATGAAATTTAAGTCAGACGTACCCTTGTGTCCTGTTACTGCACAGCTACATTTAAATTAGTCAGGTAAACTTTTATTATTCATAATATTGGAGGCTCTTAACCTTAATATTTAAACTTCTTAAATAAATTTGTAACATTAATCTTATTCCTTTTTTCTAATGTTTTTTTTAATGTGTTAAATGTGCAATGACTTGACTTGACAGTTTGACTTTGTGTAAATAATTATCAAAATCAAACAAAGCAAAGCTACAACTCCAGCAGCCTACCTGACTATGGCACTTCCACCTGTGAGACCCAGAGACTTCAGAGTGGCCTTCTTTAGTGCTTCTTCCCCACTCACCTACACACACACACACACACACACGCGCGCAGACACACACAAGCACACACAAACATCTGTGTTACCATAAAACTCACTTTCATCTCTGGAGAAAGGGAGAGTTAAAGCGCTGCATACCTCGTCTCTCATGTAAACACACACAGGGGTTGATCCTGATTCAGACAGCTCCGACACACTGGAGAACAGAGGTGACATCGACAAGAAAAACTGTGATTAAAGTCATAGACGAATGATTTTTATTTGCTTTAACAGCGACAAAACTCAACACAGAAGTGGCTCTTTCCTTGTTCTGGAGAATCAGCTCAGTGATTTTACAATGAAAGCTCATGCGATGCAGTGGCACACGATCTGCATGTGTAAACCATGTGTGCGCAATCCCGTGTGGAAACTAATTGAACCATAAATGTTTTACTATTGTTCTCCTCAATTCTGAAAATCAAAGCTTCCCCCTCTGCTTCACAACATTCCCTGAGCCTTTTACGCTTGGCGCGGAGCTAATATTCATTTCATGGAAGCCTAACTTCCTTGGAAGAGGATCAGGATATGCAGTGATGTCATTTAATAGTAATGAGATGAGGGCTGGACGGATGCACGAGCACCTGGGACCGCACAGCTGGAACTACTGAGCAACAGCTGCATATGTATGTGTGTGTGTGTGTGTGTGTGTGTGTGTGTGTGTTTGAATGAGTGGTGGTGATGTGTGGGAAAGCTTCAACTTCAGTGGAGGAGTGGTGAGAAGAGAGGATGTTATCTTAGCCTGTGTTCATTCCTACATGATGACTACCTTCGAGCTACTAACAATGTATGGAAAGCAGTAGTCTCACAGCGCAGTGTTACACAATTCTCTTTATACAAGTAAAACTAAACTTGATGAACTGATATTGCCAAGCTTCTTTTTTTTTGATAGCATTTAGTTTTATTTTACACGCACAAAATGTCCCTTTGTATCGACAGAAATCAGTAGAATGATAACATAACACGATGTACAGCTTTAGAGATAATTATTAAACCACCTGTTTCCTTTTACACAGTCTAAACAACAGGACTTCAACACTGATGATTCTGTTTGAATTTTATAAGTGTGGTTAAATAATTACACAGTCTTCTGTTTTAAAATATGATGTATTGAAAAAAGCTGAAAACATTTTGAGTCAAGATTATTTTGTGCATAAGCTGTAGATGTAAAGTCAACAGATAATCCAAACTGTATCATCACTTAACAATGCCGAACAAGAAGACAAGCATCTTGGTTTTGCAACTAAGAGGGATATGGCAAGACAGTCATTGGTAATTGGCTTGGAATTTGCAAAACAGCTGATCATTACAACGTTAAGAAGGACCGCAATATGGTTCCACCAAGAACCACAAAGGGAAAGGCAGAAAAAGTGGTCGCATTGGTCTAAAAATGATTCCCACAGCTGTATTCTGTAAGCAATTCATATGACAGTCAATTAACAATAGCTTCGATTGAAAAGAAGTCCAAGCCTGTGGACATAAAACTACAAATTAACTGTAACTCCCAAGATGCATTCCAGCTAAAAAAAACATCTCGTCACGGTGTGAAATTCTGTCGTTTGCACCGATAACGTCAAATGGAAACTGCGACACTCTTTTTGTTAGCAGTAAATTGCTACTGCTTTGACTCATGCTTCATGATTTCTTTCACAAAATTTACACTCATGACCGTGTCATGAACCAACTGAATTCTTACATTATCTGAGAGACTCCCTTCTTAAATAGCACTGAGAATACCGTTGAAACAACCATCTTCAAAAAATCTGCCAGAGCCAACTGCTTCACCCGCTTTGTAACTGGATACTCACCCAGTTCTAACTCATACTGGTGACCCCAACTCTACACACAACACCAGCATAATTCTCATGAGAATTTTTAACTTTCTAAAATTGGTTCTCCGTTACCCAAACACTGACTCTGCATACATGTACATGCTCATACACACACCTGATCTGGGGGAAATGTGTGAGCACTTCCCAAAGATTCAATCCAGAGGAGAAGGAACCCTGAAGCCGAGACCCGTCCTCCATCTGGAGAGCAATCCGCACCTGAAACCACAAGAACACAGAAGTGGAGTTTAAACGTACGTCAAAGATCGCAGAGACTCTTTACAAATTAACCAAACATATAAACATGATCTAGGCATCTAAGCTATAATTTGGGTGTATTGTTAGATTGTGAAATGATTCTAAGGCGTCCCAAAGGGTTTTGGTGTAAGTTTATACCTCCATGCTGGTGACAGACGCATTATGTTGTTGGGCAACTCGTCCATCTGTACAATCACAATCGCTTTTATTGCCAAGTAGGATTTCACATACAAAGAATATGATGTGGTGATTTGGTGCATTGCAGTAAATGCTGGAGCAGAGAATTTTTAAAGAAGGATTAAAAGATTTGAAAAGAAAGCAAGGGCTACTACACAACAGACAGTAAGTGCTCCAAAATATGCATGTATGTCTCAAATTGTGACTGCAGTATTTCTTGAATGCTTTGAAGCATTTTCTTTAAATTTGGGACAAATTTGATGATCGGTGTAACATCACTAAACACATTTTTGTCCTTAAACTTAATAGCTCATACGCTAATTATGACTTAATTTACACTATTCTTAAAAACGTGGAGACTCCGTAAACACCTACATTTTAGAATTTGTAGTTTTTTTGCTGCAACATTCATATCTGAAGCATCTCCTGTCATGGCTACAACCTTGTGTTCTATCAGAATCTGTTTTATTTATTGAAGGAATTTGACTCAGTTGTTTGTTTCTTTCAATGAAGTTACAACCTTCACAAGTCTTCACTACTTGTGTTATACAACCCGGACAGACATGGGCGTAAAGCGGCAACTGGACTAGTTGGCAGAGGCAGTAATTCTAGATTCATTCATGCATTCATGCATTATGATAAGCTAGAAAGTGGAAGATGTAACAAAGGACACCAGCTGGATTTGATCAAGAAACTTATCACAAGTGAAAAACAAATAAAAAACTGGAAACCATTGCATTAACACTAAACAGACATATTAAACACTTTAAAGTATCCCACTGGCTCTGGAAGTCATTTACCAATTTTAGTTTCTCACAACAAAAGCTAAAAATAAGACACACGACATAACTTTTTTTGACTCTAAACATTTTTTGGGGGGGTCGTTTTTGCCTGTATTATAGAGCCTGTTGCTCTATAATGATGATCCACAATGTATGTATTAACTTCAAGCATTTCACGTTGAAGGAATTTATGGCAGAAAAGTTTCCTCAGATTCCTCAAAGGAAACTCACTATATTAAGGATCTGAATCTCCCTAGGTGGCCATTTGTAAGTTCTTGGCTCCTCAGTCTTGAGTCATTTTGCAGGAAGAAAATTCTTTGATAATCAAACTTGATTCAGGCGCACATGTGGGCCCACCTCAGTCTGAAAATGAGTAACACCAGGCATCAGTGTGAGTCTCTGTTGTTCTTTTGCTCTCTGAGTCACTCCATGTTGTTTATGTTTACTCAATAATGCTGTTGTCCAGCACGGAGAGCGCGCTGCACCTCAGCACACCGGGAGAGATGAAAAGATTTCCTTGGCCGTCAAACACGACACACTCTCGCACACCAGTCTGGCCGAGGTGTGTGGGTGTGTGCGAGTATATAAAATCTGTGAGGTATCAACAGTCAACCATCCATCAAATGAACAAAAACAGCAGATCAAACCCAGCCGTGATTTTACTGCTTAGATTACGATGCCATGATGTCATAGGAAACTACAGCTCAGCTACAACAAAGTGTTTTCTTGGACACAAATCAGAGAGTGAACACAGACGGACAATTCATGCACTTTCAGGTACTGACAGCAAAAGCCCACAAATACAACTGACTGGAATGTAAAATAAGGACACATTGTGCAATATGAGGCTACACATCATCAGGGAATTCTTCTTCCCAAGATAACTAAGTGTTGAACAAAAAAACAATATCTTGATATAATCTCATGTGATACAAGATTGATATACCTGCCTTTTTGGCAGTTTACAGCTGTTTGACATCACCGTGATGGGATGTGTTTTGTTAATGAACAAATTAAATGACTCAGTCTCTCTGCAGACGTCCTGTTTATTCACTTAACTATATCCGTTTACTATTAACTGTATGACACTGAGCGCTTTTTGGGTGACGTACAGAACAGATTTGAGATCCGATTTTTGAAAAAACATCAATCTTTGCTTTTAAGAGCTATCCTTTTTTTTCCTTCACAGGTATCATGAAGTAGCCTGGATGATTGTTATGAAGACATTATGTATCAGGAATTGGAAATCAGCATCCATCGAGATGTTATATTCAGTGCACAAGGGGTCACTTCACAACTTTTTAATTAGACAATGACGTAAACTGTAAGCTATGCCTGACAGTTTAGACAGTGCTCTCTAACACCAAACAAGGAAATATCTTTTGAATGAAGTTTATCCCTGCAGCGGACTTACAGGATCCTATGACGAGGAAAAGGTCACACTATCTCACTATCACCCTTTGTGCTGTTATTTCTTTACATCTAACACTCATCTATAGCTTAGCTCCTCATAGCATTAGGTGGTCCTGTTATTAAACTTTAAATTTATCTTAAGTGTTCAACTTGAGTGAAAAAAACAACAAATGCCTCTAACTTCTTTGTCACATTATTATTATTTCTCTTGAGAGTCCATATTTGTCATCCATCAAAACACCACAACAAAAGATCATCAACATTTGAATAACTGACTTTAAAATGTTGTCGGATTTACCTCAGTCAGCATCATCCAGATACACATTAACTGTAGAAGCCAGCTAATCCCAAATAAATATATGCATCCATGTGAGTTTGGAACATGAATTGACAAGATATTCTCAGCCAAATTTAAAATTTCTATTCACTTTTCTTGGTCTGAAAGCCATAAAAACATTTAGAGGTTAATTGTCTTTGATGCACAAAACTGTTTATTATTGCCTAAATACAAACATATAAAAAATATATTCTACGTCTTTAAAAATGCAATTTCTGTTTCACTGAGTTAAACCAAACTCACAACTCAAATCCACTATTCTAGCACGACACGTGATACTGAAAACCACACAATCCTGATAAGTATTCACACACACTTCTGACTATTACTACTGTATGTGTCGTTACTATGTAGTCAACCACCACAGTATAACACCGTTATCTCACTCTCTGTCTGTGTTTCTGTCACATACACACAAACTTGCACTTTGTTGTAACTAACCTGGCTGTCGGTTGCACCTTGTTTCCTTGAACTTGTCACCATTTCCAGTTTAGCGTTGTTGGGCAGGTTTGCAAACCTCCATGGTAGCGTCAGGTCAAGAACAGTCCTTTGAAACCTGTGAAAAGGTGACGACAGAGGAGAGACGCCGCAGAGAATGACGACACAATCAATTTCTTCCTATGTGATGCTAATAAAACAAAGAGGGCTATTAAATTTGACAAAATATGCCTATTCAAGAGCTAATGACTTATTTTATCATTAAAAACAAGAAAAGATCGATGTGATCTTTGAGTAAAATTAGATCACTGTCCTTAAAGTGAACAACAACTGTTAAATTGATTTCTCATCTTTTGCTTAAATATTAAATTCTGGGTTTTAGTGCATCTGTGGATTAAATTTACAAGATGTCTTATCTCTTTTATCTACGGCATAACTGTTATTATTCAGATATAATTAAACTAAATGTAAAACCTAATGTACATTTGTTTTTCATTTGTTTACATTTATACCCAGAATAGAGTAACTACTTTTAATAAGTCAGGATTGACGCCTGCTGCGAACAACATAATTCAATTTAACTGGACAAACATCAGCAGCCATGTCAGCTTGTTGTTCCACTACTCTGTACTAGTATTGTGGTTGTGTTAATGTGTATTTAGATACAGCCTAAATTCGTGGCTTAAGCTGGAGTAATAGAAGCTACGATGAACTTAGCATCAGCTTGAATCATAGACTTAAACGTGAGTAATGTGACAACTACATGAACCATCAGATACTCACTTCAAACCGTGCTCGTCCGGGTTAAATCCGTGTTTTTTGCAGACGTCCTCCAGCACCTGAGGACGGCAAAGGTTAGCAGAATTTCACAAATTACGTTCTGCTTCATAATTATACATATGATTTGATTTCAGTCGCACGAAAACAGAAACTGATCAGTCACTGGCTAACAACTGTTAGCCAAACAAGCTAACTGACAGGAACACAGTTCGCTCCGTTGTGTGAATAAAACAGCAGAATTAAACAAACCGTTTATATCAGAAAACACTAAATGTCCCCTAAACACAAATTACCTGCAACAACGGCGTGTTTGGAGCCACTTTAACAGTTTGTCTTCTCCCATTTGGAGTCAGAACCGTTACAGCTGTGCCGCTGGCTGCCATTGTTTGTGGTGACGTCACGGTGTTTGTTTGAACAAACTTTATTGAATCTTTATCTGAGACACGCTGAGATTTAAAGGGCTAGTTCACCCAAATTGTAAAGTATTTTCGGTCTGTGTCACAGCAATGAACACTGACTTACTCTGCAATGTGTTAATAAATGTTTAATGACTTCCACTGCAAAGACCATTTCCAGTGAAAATCAAGTTTTTTTGTCAGCATGTTTTTAATATGCTATCATATGAGAGCTGGGGTGTTCGGGCTGCAGCGAATAGGAAGGGGTGGATGGAGAGAGTCAGAGACAACAGTGCAGTTACATCTGACAGAAGGGTTACATCTGAGCCATTTTAAGGCTTGAAGTGGTTGTTTTCATGAAAAAAAAAAATCTAAATATGACATGTTTGTTTGATCAGCAACTCAGAGAGAGAGCCTGTAAATAAATTGCAACATAAAGACATTGACAAATTAAAGAAAAAATGAATAAATGGGTCATGGATATCAAACGTGCTGTGAGAACATAGTAGATCTTTCTCACTTATGACACTTTCATATGTCATGATTTATCAAATGAATGAATTCAATGCCAGTTCCAGGGTCATATAGCATGGATGCAGGTTCATTGAAAATTACTTCCTTACTAGGACACTTACCAATTACCTTTAGGCCACCTGATGTTTGTTTGTTTGTTTGTTTTGCTGTAAAACTTAAATATGCTCGTTGTGAAACTGTTTATCTCTACATCCAGAGAGCACTCAGAGTCACAGACTGATTTAATAAGTATGGCAGTGTTTTGAATTGTTTGTATATGTGATTGCATTTGTCATCACATCAACCCAAAATTTACATTAGAGATTTGGTTTCTCCAGCGACATTGTCAAAACACCCAATGAGGTTTTTTCATACAAGTGTAACATTTCTCTGGTGTAAGAGCCTATTTCAAATAGATAAATAGAGGGACTGACAAAGTGCTGAACTTCTGAAACGCTAATAGTTAAAATTCTTCACTTGTAGCTTTACAACTACATTCACTATAATTTCATCGAATATGACAACTGGCCCTCGGTTAGTGTCAAAGTAGTTTTTATAAAGTAATATTTCCATGTTTTCTTAAATCCTAAAGTCCATATCCTCATGAAATTAGGTTCTCCACAATCTGTAGCCAAAACGATATGAAGATATGTATTCTTCTTCCTTGACCTTTAGTACATTTAACTCCAGTGGCCCTGGCAAGAGGAGAAGAAAGACCCCATCTGTAAACTGGCCACAACAGAGCCAATCTGCTCCCCATATGGACGGCTTCATGTATGTACCATGTGCAGTTCACCTGCACAGTTACTGAGAGAATCAAGGCCATTTTCTGTCAGACTGGACAGACAACGTGACACGTGGTGCCAACAGATGGAGAGGTGTGAGGCCGGAGCTTCAGAGGCCATACGACCGACTGACTGAGTGGTTCAACATTTAGAGACAGAGTCCACCAGAGAGAGAGAGAGAGAGAGAGAGAGGCACAGGGGTGAATACAGTTCTCAGTTCTGGTGGGAAATTGCCACCATCTGAATAAACAAGCAAACAATCAGTTTCCTTCCTCGCTCAGCAGGATAGAAACTTCTGAACCGTCTGGACGAAGCACAAACTTATGTCAAGCACAGTGTGGCAAGCACACACTAGAAAACAGGGTTCCCTTCCTTGTGAAGCACCTATCCCAGCCAGACAGCTAAAATTTAAAGACATTGTCAGAAGATGATGGATCTGAGGAATGAATTTAAAGATGTGAAAGAGATAATGTTTTCTCTGACGTGATGCTGTTTCTGTGTTCCTACGATTCAGTGAAAATAATCAGGCCTGAGTGTGAGAAATTGAAAGAAAATTAGGATTTTAAGGAAAGCAAAAGGGAATTATCATCCGTGTAGCACAAACTGAAAGGTCTTGCACAAATGAACAATGAAGATGTAATAAATCGGAGCCTGAGAAAGAAGAAGTGAGGGTCAACCTTCAGAACTCAGTGGATTAAAGACTCAGATAAAACCACTGACTCATTCACAGATGGTCGTTTGATGAGTTTATCTGATCCTTGGATGGGCTCAAATACAAGGATGGTATAACAGATAGAAAACGCGAAACAACTAACGCAATCAGAAAACTGCATTAAAAGACAGCATAAACTCCCCAAACAGGCATTGCAAAGCTTTATAAGGTAACAAAGGATAAGATAAGATGAGCTTTTATTAATCCTACAGTGTAGGAATTGGTGTTGTGGGAAAGGGGACACACTTTTAGAGAACTTGAGGAAACTAAAATCATAAAAGCACCACAAATGTCACATCCATTAAAGGAAAAGAAACAAGTGAAATGACAGAAGATGGAGGGTAAAAACATAAAAACAAGGGCAAAATAAAAACACTAACAGTTATACTGATTCGGCACAGATTCTATCCATACGTTTTTCTATATTGCACAAAGGGAGAAAGATTCCTAAGTGAACTGTAGTTTTTCAAAACATGTTGAGAAGTAATGCTGCTGGACAAAGTGTGGGATTGTTGCTCATCCATCTTGACCTCACCTGGCAAACAGTGACCTTAAATGATTGTGACTGTAAACTGACACAACAGTAGTGAATATTTTATCATCAGGGCCTGTCAGTAAAGTAAGTAAAGCTTATGAGGTGCCTCATTCTCTTGTGTCCACACATACCACAGCCATGATTTAAAACCCCCAAGTGACCTCATCGCCTCTAGTGATATAATACCATCAGACACAAACAAAAGGAAAATGTAGGTTTGTTTTTACAGCGCATGAAAAAAAAACCTACAAAACATCCCATGTGCATCGAGTGGAGGCTGCACGGCTCGGCCCTCTGAGCAGGACGGCCTGTCTCCTTTCACACAGCACGTTCAATCAAAGACACTTCAAAGGCGGCGCGGTCATATGATGACACAACATCAAAGGGACCGAGTGTGTGAGTGAACCGAGCGAGGGGAGGGGGCGTGCCAGGCACATACACGCGCTCTCGGGGTGAGACCGACGCCCCGCCGGGAGCATCAGCCAACGATAATAACGATTGGCCCGCGGGAGTGAGAGGCACGGGGGCAGGGAGAAGGGGGGAGGACTTCAAATAAATTCCCTCCTCGTCCGCAGCTCATGAGAACCTGAGCCAAGAGGCAACAGGTCGCCAGTGAAGCTGCGCGCAACGAGACTTCGCTGGTGCTTTTACGCGCGTAATGACGCTTTTAACCGGACGAGCTGCTCACGGTTTAAGGGAATGAGCTGGAACTTCACGTGGGGCGACTTTGAAACCAGCTGCCCATCTCTCAGGGCACCATGGAGACCCGTGAGCTGGGTTCGGTCAGCACACCTTGCGTGAGTTTCCTGGAAGTTTCCGTGCGTTTTCAAAGAACTTTCCACCACTTCTCCGTCCGCTCCTAGGATATGCTGTGTTTCATTCAGACCCTTGCACACACTCGAGAGACGTTTTCCCACTAAGAGTTTAGAAAAAATGCAGAGCCGCGGTGTGCTGAGAAGTTCGGCCGGACTGTCCGCGGTGCGCTCCTGCCTGCTGCTGCTCTTCATCCACATGAGCGCACCGGTGGAGGCGAGGAGAGTGCGCGGCGGTCGGGCGCAAACTCGGCGTGTTCAGCAGCAGCAGCAGCAGCAACAGCAGCCGCCGCCGCCTTCTCCGGCGTACAGGGAGCGGGTGGAAGGAGCAGAGAGCTTCCCGTTAGACTTCACAGCCGTGGAAGGCAACATGGACAACTTCATGGTGCAGATTAAGAACTTGGCGCAGTCGCTGTATCCGTGCTCTGCGCAAAAGCTGGACCAAGACATGAAGCTGCACTTTTTGAAGAATGTATCTGTGACTTGCAATGACGGGTCACCTGCAGGGTAAGTGAAAGGGCTGCAGCTTCTTGTTAATACCATGTAATATAAACTCCCTGACATTATGTTGAACAACTGGAGTGAATCTGGGTGATGCCATGAAGGCGCACGGACAGCTGCGCTCTGGCGCACCAAACATCCAGTCGGTGTAGTGGTTCAGATCTCTGCCCTTCATTCCCGTGTCCCTCCGGATGTGACCAGAATGGATCAAAGAACCAGATCAGAGAGAGAGAGAGAGAGAGAGAGAGAGAGAGAGAGAGAGAGAGCAGTGCGCGCTGCCGCTGGGTGAAGGAGAGAGAGGGACTGTGCGCACTCCCGACAGAGAGGCTTTTATCCCTGCAGGGATAAAGTCTGTGGGTCTTCATGGTGCAACAGATTAAAACCAATGATAGTTTCAAAGTTTGTGCCCGGACAAGAGTACGTCTTTCCCCACTTGGGGAACTAAAATAATTGCAGTTTCCAAGTTGTGTAAAAGATTTTTACAGTCTTGAAAGACACATTAAGGCAAACAAATCTCTCCAGATGCACAAGCAGATGTCCAAATCAGATTCTGTATGGCAGGAGGCATCAAATTGCATAGCTGTGCCAATAATCCAATCCCAGAAACTGCATCTATGTGGCGTAAATGTCAGTATTTTAATGTTATAGAGGTAAAGCATTGCTCATGAATACCGTCTAATCGCTATGAATTAGAATTCTGGGAGGAACAGAGGAGATTCAGTCTGTTTTGGACTCGAGTTAACAAATCACTATTCTTAAAGCCTCACCCATGAAAAAAGCCAGATGTTACTGGTGCACCAATGGCAGTTAAGTTCAATTAGGTTTAATTTAGGCAACACTTTTTTGCCAAAGTATGCAAATGACTAAAAACAGGACAAATTAAACCACTAATTAAAACACTGTTGTCCCTGTGAATATGTGGGACCTTCCCATATGCCACCCAAGCTGTCAAGTGTGAGAGTGTGTGTGCTGCCAACATCCTCTACATATGTGAAAGAAGAGAGAGAGAGAGGGAGGGAAAAAAAAAAAAACGATTAGAGCTCTGAAAGCCTCCACTCAGGCTCCAGCAGAGAAGTTTAGTGGTGCGATCAGAGCCAGATCTTTCATGTCAGGATCAAAGGTAGCATCCCCAGCACGGAGCTGCTATTTGAATGCATCTGCGTGCACATTCACAGTGACCCACTCTGGTGTTCTCGTGCAGGTACTACATCAAGGAGTCCAAAGGCAGCAGGAGGTGGCTGCTGTTCTTGGAAGGTGAATATGTGAATTGGATCAGAGGTTAACACACTGAGCTCAACACAACTCTGTGCGGCCTGTTAACAAACGTGTGTGTGTGTGTTGTTCAGGTGGATGGTACTGTTTCAACAGACAGACCTGTGACAGCAGGTATGAGACCATGAGGAGACTGATGAGCTCCACCAAGTGGCCGCAAACCAGAACAGGTAAAAGTCCTTTATTGTGTGCTGCAGAATCCACACCGCTGTGTCTTCTGCATGAAAGCTTTTCCCAGTTTGTGCAAACTTTGCAAAACCTCTGCACAGCCCCACAGAGCTTTCCTCAGTAGGGGGAGAAGAAAAAAAAAAAAGGCTTCCTCTGAATGAACGAGATTCATGCAAGTGTTTGTGTTTCTTCTTTAGCTGAGTTTGCGTTAATCTTTAGAAGTCAGACTCTGGTTCTTTCCCTCCAGTCATCAGGGAACTCCTTGTTTGTTTATGACTCTCCCTCCTCCTCTGAATACTTTACACCGGTGGCCACTGCAGCAGCCGCGCAGCTCCTCGGTGCCTGCGTGTAACTGCTGACCGAAGCAGGGAAAGTTAATGACTTATTTGCCGCAGAGGAAACACACACATCCACAATAAACAGACTCATCATAATAAGTGGCCTTCAGCGTCTTTTACCTTTACTGAAGCTTTTTTTTTTTCACTCTACAATGAGGACTTTTGTCAGATCTCACCTCCCCTGTTTCATCCATCTTCCCTCTTTTCACAGGAACAGGAATTTTGTCTCCGCAGCCGGAGGAGAACCCTCACTGGTGGAACGCTAACATGGTGTAAGAACTCGTGCCAGTAAATGCACTGATGTGTGTGTGGGGTCTTTTTGTTCTATTTTGTTGTTTATCAAGGATAACTGTAGGAATGTGTGGATGCACACACCTGGGAAAGCAACATCTTGGGAGAAAACAACTCCTGGGAATCATAATAATCAGCAATAAGAGATGATAATTAGTAGTGTTAATGTATTAGTTCTAGTTTTGTATGAGTTGTCTGTGTTACGTTTCGGTGTTTACTTTCCACGACAGGCCTTAGATCATCTTTTTAAAATATGATGCAGTGATCAAACTCTGAAACTACTAACAGACTACTTTACAGATTAATGCAGTGACACTCAACCTAAGGCCTGTGGGCCAAATCAGGGCTGCGATTGGCTACCAGCTGGCCCATTGAATACATTCTAATTCATAATGAAAATAATTTGATTCACGCTGGGATTTCGTTTGTTTGTTTATTTGTTTTGCTAAGTGAAGGATGCAACAATCTTAAACCAGTGACAGGCGAATAGATTTGGTGGAAACTTTGCACGGAAGGAGACGAACGCTCTTATTAAAACGGATCAGTCACAGGGATGCTTTATTGCACGACCAAAACCTTCAGCGAAGCTTAAAATTTCTGTGTGGTGTGATTTCGTTGCCCAGGAGTTGTTGTTTTTTCTTGTAGTGGGGAGGATTTTGAAAATGGTGGCAGTCTACATCTGATAAGTTGGATAAAGGTCAGAGAAAAGGAAAGCAGAGAAAAACAGAGAGACAACCAACAAGATAATGTCATTTGGCTGTGAATCAGTTCATCTGAAAAGAAATAATGTAAAAGAAAGACAAATTATGGGCTTATCTTAGAAATAATATTGTTTGTTTGTTAATTGGTGCCTCATTTTTGTAAAAGTGCCAAAGCAAGTTGAGTAAACGCATCAGTAATTTAGCAACATTTCACCGAATGAGTCAGTAAATACATCTCAAGATACATGCAGGTATTATTTCAGCGTTGCACACACAAAAAAATACGACGGTTGTGTTTTGTTCTAGCAGCTACTCATCACTGCTGGACGGTAAAAGTCTCTTACTGGCTTCTTCTAACAGACCCTGAACACACACTTGCTCTGTTTGCGTTCATTTGGTTTTTATTTGTGCACCAGATCAAATAAAATCTGCTTTGATTTAGTTTTCTGTCCGCAGTTTGTTTCCGTTGGTGCTAACAGCGTTTCTGTCTCCTGCAGGTTCATCCCATACTGCTCCAGTGACGTGTGGAGTGGAGTCAGCCCGAAGACAGAAAACAGTAAGACACAGTGCACGAGTTGGACTCTCTGTAAGAGCTTGTGGCTTTACATAAGGATATATAAAGATTAATCAGGGGTGTTGGAGGAACAGAAAAGGAGCAAACAGATCAGAAGAACTCTTACAAAGTGTGTCGTTTCCTTCCTTACTGTGTGGCTCCCACATCAGCAATACCTTTTCGAGCTTCCTCCATGATTTTGTCCTTGTCTTGCTCATTAAAAAGCTCATGATGTTACATTTGGTTCATTTAAGGCACTTGGGAAAAGTTGTGCAGGTGTCTCTGAGTTGAGTTCTATCTTTTAAAATGGCACCAATTAAAACAAAAAAAAGCCAAGCTCCGTAGCCCTACCCTTTAATCACACAGATTTAAAGTTCTACTGTGTGTGTCATGTGCCTCTGTGTTAATAAAGACATCTCTTTTCCATTCTCAGGTGATTATGCGTTCATGGGCTCTCTGATCATCAAGGAGGTGGTGAATGAGCTGCTGACAAAAGGTCTGGACAAAGCCAAGGTTCTGCTTCTGGCAGGCAGCAGGTCAGCGTAGTTTAAGTGTGTGTTTTCACCCAAAGATATCTGCTCAGTTGCGCCTTCTGATCCCACTCTTTCTGCTCACCAGTGCCGGCGGTACAGGCGTCCTCCTGAACGTGGACCACGTCGCAGAGCAGCTGGAGTCGCAGGGCCACGGAGGGGTGCAGGTCAGAGGCCTCGCCGACTCCGGATGGTTCCTGGACAACAAACAGTACAAATTCACCGACTGCCTGGACACCATCAGCTGCGCCCCCACCGAGGCCATAAAGAGAGGCATCAGGTAGGATGGAGACGGCGTTAAAGGACAGATGGCTTGTTGGAGGGATGAAGGAGATGGATTTTAAAAATCGGTGGTACTTTTTGTGCAGGTACTGGGGCGGGCTGGTGCCAGAAAGCTGCAGACAGGCTCATGTGGGAGAAGAGTGGAACTGTTTCTTTGGATATAAACTCTTCCCCACATTGAAAAGTGAGTCCCGACACACAACAAGCTTCTCCGTAATAAATGTCAGAGATAGAGGCTCGTTTAAAGCCTGACCTGTGGCTCCTCTCTTCTCCCTGCAGGCCCGTTGTTCGTAGTCCAGTGGCTGTTTGACGAAGCCCAGCTGACGGTCGACAACATCCATCTGACCGGACAACCCGTCCACGAAGGCCAGTGGAGATACATCCAGAACCTGGGACAGGAGCTGAGGAACACACTGCGAGACGTACCGTAAGACTGACAAACACTCACACACTGATGTACACACACACAGGATTAAATGACTGTTTTACTGACTGGGATGCTGTGTTTGATTGGCAGGGCGATGTTTGCTCCAGCATGTCTGTCTCATGAACTCATCACTAGAACGTAAGTAAAGAAATGTTTTAAGACAAGTTCGAACAATTTATCCAACAAGCTGATTCAATGCCTAACATGTAAGATGAACAAAGACTCTATAACCTGTATAGGCATTATGTTGGATGATAATGCAAAAAGTGTGGTTAGTTTGTACCCAATTACAGAGTTTGAATGTAAAAGCACACAAACACTGGAATCAGTATTTTGACCAGCAGGTTTTCATATACGAAGAATTTGATTGAAGGTTTTGTTGCATTACGGAAACACAAACATGTAAAAATGCAAGTGTTGCAAGTAAGTAGACAAAAAAAATAGAAATATAACACTCAGAATGTTAAATTGATAGTATGGGTATAAACCTTTTTATATAAGCAGATAATTATTGTTGATTTAACAAAAAAGATACAAAAAAAATACTAATAAATAAAATAGATATTTTCTGAGAAAAAAACAAAAACTAAATACAATTTCACATAACTGGCATAATACTTAAAATAACAACTGGGATACTATTTTACAGATAATGTCTAATATTGCAGACCTATGAATGCAATTTTAAAAAGACCCAGAAAACTACTGTAATATGTTCAAATTCTTTTCCTTAAAAGTAGAATTTTTACATTTCATCTGCTGTTTGCTTACAGTTTTATCATTGTTTTACCAGAAACTTTACTTTTTGATTTGCCTGAACATAAAGGGTAACAATGATGATAGTCTATATTTGTCTTATCAACAATAAAAGACTAAAATAGTTAAATAGTTAAAATTTTATTTCGCTTTTAATCTGGTTTAGTGAGCCTGCGAGTACTTGTCAGTGTCTGTGCTCTGTGCTGTTCTTACTGGCCTGTGTTTTAAATGTCTGTGTGAATTGTTAGACGTCCTCTCCTGCTACTGCAGAACAAATCTACCTATGGGTACCAATACAGTCACCTTGAACCTTGAATTCTGCTGACAGTTACGAGGACACATTGTCCTGTTGCTGTGATGGAAGACGTACTCATGATATCACAATTTAAAAATACCTTACAAGTTCTAACCTGTTGTAAAGAAGCTAAAGTTGTCAGAAAAATGTAATAAAGTAAAAAGTAGAATATTTTATGAAGTTGAGGACCACTGAGTCAAGACAGTCTTGCGTTCGTCCTCCATCACTCTTCGTCTCTCTGCAGGTACTGGATGGACATTCAGGTTAAAGGCACCTCCCTGCCCAGAGCGCTGCACTGCTGGGACCGCAGCCTCCAGGACAACCTCCACGCCAGCAACAGCAGCAACAGCAGCCATAGCAACCACAACCACCAAAAGCACAACAAGACCCCTCCAGCTAGAGGTTGCCCCCTGCATCTGATCGACAGCTGCCCCTGGCCACACTGCAACCCCTCCTGCCCGACCATTCGAGACCAGCTGACCGGGCAAGAGATGAGCGTGATTCAGTTCCTGAAGCACATGGGCTTCGACGTGCAGAAGATGGCTCAGCAGCAGGGCATGGACGCCAGGAAGCTACTGGGCATGCTCAATAATGGAAACTGATGCTAAAAAAGAACAACTGCTGGTGTAGTGTCAGTAAGCCGTTCTGCACGAAAAGCTGATCATAAGTGGAAGACAAGAGATATGTGGGAACAAAACTCTGATAAGACTTAAGGTCTTCCTTCAAACGACATAAAAACCTACTGAAAAACGACTCAAAAACTCACAAGTGCCTCATGAGTTCTGAAGACAAGTCAAATACAATCAAACCAGCAAGTTTGAGCTGTTTAAATATGATATACGGAATCACTTCAGATCAGCGTAAGATATACAGATATGCTATTATTCTGAGAAGCTGGACCTGTTTATTTACACCGATCAGCCACAACATTAAAACAACCTGCTTCATACTGTGTAGGTTCCCCTTGTGCTGCCGGGGAATGTCATATCAGTCATCACGGTGAAAAGAAAACTACTTGTACATGCTGTTAAACTGTCCTCTTGTCAATGATCAAACTCAGTCTACAATCTGCAGTTATATTGAAATGACATTTAAGTAGTTTATGATAGCATTGGACAAATCCAAAAGCAAAAATGGTTGGTTAAAATGTGACAGTGAGGCCTATTGCAAACATTACTCAGAATACCTGCACAGATTGTAAGATAATGTGGGACGGTAACTGGCAACACTGCAGGCATATTAAATCCATCCATTATCTATACACCGCTTAATCCTTACTAGGGTCATGGGGGGCTGGAGTCTATCCCAGCCGACTTAGGGCGAAGGCAGGGGACACCCTGGACAGGTCACCAGTCCATCACAGGGCTACACTTAGAGACAGACAACCAAGCACACTCACACTCACGCCTACGGACAATTTAGAATCACCAATTAACCTCAACATGTTTTTGGACTGTGTGGGAGGAAGCCAGAGAACCCGGAGAGAACCCACGCTGCACGGGGAGAACATGCAAACTCCACACAGAAAGATAAACTCTTCTGCAGCAAGAAGGTTGCTGGTTCGACCCAGACGTGAACCAGCAACCTTTTTGCTGCAAGGCAACAGTGCTACCAACTGCGCCACCTTACATCCCTCATATTAAATCGTCATATGCAAATGTATAGGGAGGTACCATCTCGTTAGGTAACTGAAGTTTGATTAAAACTTCATGTTCCTCTGGGCTCCAACAGCAGCCATCCTTGTTATGAGACAGTTTTACAACTTTTAGGTACGACAATGACAAGTTTACAAAAATGTGAGTGGTTTGTTTTCATTGCAGTGGGTGACTAAATAACCCAATTGTACAGAAATACCCAGATGAAGCTGGTTTTCCACAGCTCTGACCTCTTGGGGTGTTTCTGTGGTGTTTGGCAGCAGATCCTCTGGGTCATATGGTCTGCAGGGGAGGACCTCTGTAGATCGAGCCTGTTCGGATCTGGAGACCGGGTCAGTGCCTTCTGCTTTTATTGTGTCCTTCCTGAGCAGTTTCTGCAGTGTTTGAGGGTACGTAGTCCTACGGAGGGAGGCCACTTCAACAATGTTTAGATTTCTGAGGTTTCCTCGCATGCAATTGCATTTTAACTTTGCTCCCCTCACCTGTCTGTGGTTTTAAAGCTGTGGCTGATCGGTGTTTACAGTAATGTGTGATCTATAACATGTACATGCAGGTGAAAATATCATGATAGTTGTCTCAAATAGTCTTGAGAGTTTCGATGGGAAAGCACCGGACTGAGAAGCTTGTTGTGGGTTTTGGCAGCCTGTATGTGGGGATTTGGTGCTCTCTTCTGTCGACTCTAAAAATCACATTCAGAAATCCATCTATGGTGCTGCTGTGTCTACCCTCCACCAAATATGCTGCTTTTTCTCTTTTTGGAAAAAAAATATTATAATTTAATGGGTAATATTTACTAATAAAAAGATTAAGATTATTACTTTGTTCTTCAGGCCACGGTTAAGTGCTTTATTTATTTTTCTACTGAAAATAACTTTTAAATGTCTTATAGTCAGACTCAATGCGCCGCCTCAACAATGTCTCCATACATTTGACCTTTGCATGTTTGCTTATCTTGTGCATATTGTTATTCAGGCTGTAAAGTTTGTAACAAGTATTTTCTTTGTGATGTAGTGGTGCCCACACTTTATATAAGCACTAATAAATACAAATACACGCTGATATGATAAAACATAATTTACTTTAAAAAAGTACAGTGACAGTTATCACACTAAAAGAATTCAGAAAAACAAGCATAAAAAACAGGAATCATTTACAGTATGAACAAGCTCACACCCACAAAATCCAAAGTCCACCTAAGAATAAAAACTGTTCACAGTTGGTGTAAAAGTGCTTCTGCATGAGAAGGGCTATATCTCACTTACACTGCCCACTTTTTTGCATACAGGCCGGCCTAGTCGCTGCTCAGTTAGCTTTTTAAAACTGTTCCGTCACCTGGTTAATTCTACATTTCCTCACTTCTCTCGATCTGTTAATAGCTATGCACAGGTAATGGAGTCACATTGGCTTCACTCTGACATCCTAAAGTTCCAGTTCAGGCATTACATCTGTAAATCATACCTTGTTCCTTCGATCTACAAAGATTCCAGCCGTTACCATCAGGTGAAATTTAAAATTCTACCAATGCGTAATACATTTGATTTGTCTTTCCCTGTTGATAATCCAGTTATAAACCCTCTGGTTTAACAATACTCCTGACCTCAGCGCTCAGAGAATTGAAAAGGCTCCAATGTTTTAGCACGCAGAATCCTAAAAAGAAGAAAAGAAAAGTGGGTTTAAGCCAAAGCCAGAATGTGCAAATTCATATCGAAGCACTCGGTCTTTGATTGTGAACAAAAGAGCTTCAAAGACCGACCTGACTGGTGAGTCTTCGAGGCGTTCGTTTCTGCTCGTGGATGGACTGCAGCTTAGTGATCAAGAACTTTTTATCCTCCCCCTCCTGAAGAAGGAAGAAGAAGAGGATGAACCCGATTTATTAAAAGACAACAAATGTCAGCAGAAGACAATCTCATAGATGAGTATCTTTAAAACAGAGCTGTATATGTACATTAGGTCATGTCTTACGTTTTCTATCTGCTCCTGCAGTAAACTGATGATCTTCCTCTGACCGTCCACCACCTGACTGTGGAAGTAGATGACGGTCCTGAACAACACAAAAGACAGAATCATCAGTTCAACTGGTGTTAACTAGAAAATATTCTCCTCAGTAATAATACAGTGTTCTAGTGTTTGCTCACGCGTGTTGGTGCACTCACAGAAAGATTCCTGCTCCCACAAACAGGAAAAGTGGATTTTCCACCAGGTAGGAGTGAGCCTTGGCCAGCACGGACAGGTTGGGATTATCTTTTTCCATTTCTGCCACCCACAGTTTTCCCGCCTGGAACATCGTTTTGAGACCCCTGAACGAACCGCACGACGTGGACGGTGTGATACTAAAGACATAAGACACAGAAATCTGTATGTGTCAAAATGTTTTTTGTGAGCACGTGTGCAGGTGGCCAGAAAAAAAAGCGGTGAATCATGTCATGGTCACAAAACTCAGATTCTAAGATTGAGGTGTGGGCTAACAAACTTAATCCTGGTTAACAACTGCTCTAAACCAATATAACAAACTGCAGGCATCTATACCAACTTAGTGCTACCAAATGAGTCTCACAGTTGAAACTAAACTAACAGTGAATTAAATAAACCTAATTATTCAATCTTTTTATATGTGCTAAGTGACCATGAATGCAACAATACACATCACTGTGGATCATTCCTGGTATCGCACTAAGAGGCAAAAAGTCAGGCTTTAACTATTTGACTTTCTGTGTGTGTTTGGTTTAGTACTCTAATCAGGTTTATCTCTCTCAGGTTTAACTAAATCTAAAATATACTTTCATGCTGCGTGAGGAAGTTTGCTTGGATTCAAAATCTGGTCATACAATCTTGTTTCCCTTTTGGAGACAAAAAGGTGGACCCCACAACGATTACATGTCAGGATTTTCGTTGTGGTTACTGAGGTTGTGGGTTTGTGTTTTCTAAATACCATCAAGAGGCAACATTTTGAGTTGTGACAATCATTTAACCCTCTGTCACAATGATTGTGAGTTTATCAGTAAAAAATATTTGTTGATGACCTATTTTTCATGACAAGACTAAAACTAAAGAACAAGAAATAGTTTAAGACAGGAACTATGGCAAATGTTTTACTCTTTTCTTTACTGAATAAAATAAAATGATAACATTTAGGACGGACGAATGGACAAATAAACTCAAAACTGTTTTAATGTGAAGTGTCCAGTGAGCTGAGTTTTCTCCACTGCTCAAATTTTTTCTTATTCAGCAGATTCATCAGTATAACCTGTTGCACTGCTGTTTATGAAGAGGCTCCTTACGGTCAGTAATGTCACATCATGTCAGGCTGTGATGTTATCTGGCAGTTCTTGAAAATAAACTGACTTATGAACTAAACTTATCTACAGATTTCAATGAGAAGCAGCAACAAAGCAGTTGAGCCACATTATGAACATGCAGGCAGGAGATGACATTCATTTAAAAAGAAAAACAACAACCAAAAAAGCTAATGTTAATGTTACACAGCTAATTTAACAAAGGCGATGTGGATGTAATGTTGCTGGTACTTTCAGTTGGATATCTTTCATATTGCTGTCAGCAATCAGTTCCAGAACTGCATCATCTAAAGGTTTCTCTAGATGTTTACTAAAGATATGCTGTTAGATAATTATAATAATGTTATTCAACCATTTAGCATATCTTCTAAAGCTAAACCCAGAAAGTAAACAGGACTTTAGTGAACAAATGAGTGAATCATCTACTGAAGGAGCTGCTGCTCTTCAGAGGAACAAGGTTGTAGCTGTGGTAAAGCTAATTATAAGTGAGCAGGGCAGAGAGGGAGCGCTTCAGAGTTTGGAAATGAAACTGAAAACTGAGCCTTTTTACATGAACCTCACCATAGACCAGAGTAACACCTGTAATCGTGGTACCTGCACACAAAGACGGCAACAGCTGTGGTCTTTAAGTGCTTTAGATTATATAAAATTGAAGAGAAAAAAAAAACAAACCCAAATGAGACGAAAATGTCACTGATGAAAACTAAACTAAAATGATTTACTATATACTGTACTATGCTATGTTATTCTATATAAAAACTACACTAAAACCAATAAATATTTTTGTCAAAAGGATAAAACTAAACAAAAAATAAGATGCCAAAATTAACTGTGTCTGAACATGGCTACAGAGTCCATTTTAGGTTTGAGGCTGAAGTGACAAACTGCTGTTGTGAGGAAGTACCTCCACATTGTGTACGTGACACACACTGAGGCGCCGAGGAAGGAGGGGAAGCAGAGGAGAGTGATGAAGATGGTGGTCATCTGGCTGACTCTGTAAGGCTTCCTGGGGGCCTGACAGTTCATCATCACGCTGCTCTGTGGGGACAAAAACACAAGCTGGGGTCAGAGGTCACAGTTTCCATAACAACTGTCAGCAGCTCGGGAACAAGGCAGAGAAAATGTGGCAAAGGAAGTTGTGGTTCACTGAACTCAGCGAGCAAACAGCACTATGAGAGGAGCTTTAAAACTATGTGGGGTGGATCATACGGTACAGCTTTTTAGTCAAACTGCAGCTTTTTTTTTTTTAGGTCATAAATGATTTATACCATTATATACATTGTGATATTTTATCAAAATTACCTTATTCTGCAAGTACAATTGTAATATGAACCATTTGCACTAACCAGATCAAATAAACTACAGATTAGGCGGTCCAGAGTTTGGAGAAAAATTAGCCAACAGTAAGTAAAAATGTGATTGGAGTTGAGATAAACAAGGACAAGGCAAATTTAAAATAATTATACTAATACTAATAATAGTTTTCCCCTCTTCATTATTAGCTTAAGCTTTTATTCTGTGCATTTAAGTGTTTCAATTTAAGTACCATTTTAATGTAGAAGAGAAGAAATAGTTTGAGAATCTGCACTGCAGGGAGGACAGGAGTGAAGAGAACACCCAACCTGAAAAACAGAAAATATTTCTTATTAACCAGAAACATTCACAACAATTTGACTTCAGGTAGCATGATTGTGTGTATATCTGAACAGCAGGGTTTGTACCAGGCTAATGTCTGTCCATAGATGAGCTCCAGGACGTTCTTGGCGATATCAAACACTGGTTTCCTTCTTCTCTTCAGCACCTTCTCAGAAAACAACCTGCAGATAAGCAGGAGGGGGAATTACACTACTTAAAGTAACAACAAGAAACTAATATTTAAAAAAACAAAAAAACAAAACAGACAGTAATATTTTCATTGGCTCACATGTTTGAATGAAGATTAGTTTTAAATGATGACAAAAAAAAAGAGTAACAGCTACTAAGAGCTTGTTGATGAATGACCCACCCCCAAAGAAACTCTCCAAACAAGGTGTCCAGTAGAGTGAAGATGAAGTCCATGAGCAGGAAGCGGTAAAGCTCCTGACCAACAAAACTCTCCCAGCACTAAGAAAATAGACAAAACAGAGCACGAGGTCGGCTATTAAACAAGTAAAAACTCAAGATTATGTTTTTTCCACACTGCTGTGAGGAACAAGTTCCGTAGTCTGGAAGTTTGAAAGTGTAAACTGGGTCATTTAGATTACCTTGAGGCCAATACTGCTGGGGTCAGCAGCCACCCGACCCAGCCAGTGGTAGCAAAGGACTCCAAGCACGCTCACTTTTAACATCAAGTTCCTACACAGACACCAAACAATATGTTAGAAACTAAATCTATCAGTTCTGAGCTGTTTTTAACTCTGATATTGCAGCTCCTCTGCTCCTACCGGCTGATGGCCACATATGTGCGTATTGAAGGTGACTCATAGTCCTCCATCCAGGCTGCAAGGTTGAAGAGGCCGGGCAGCAGCAGGTTGATGAGGGACACCAGCACAGGCAGAGCCAGCAGGCTGGCCTCATGCAACAAGGGGTTCTCGATGACGCTACGAGAACTTTGCTGCAGGTTCTGTTAAGTTGAGCGCAAGAACCAAAGATGGATAAGTTAGTGAAAGTTCCTGACAACACGTTACCAGAAGCTGAAGTTTAGTTTGTTGCTCCCAGATGTTTGTGGAGATTTCCCTCTATTAAATATCTGCTGCGTCAGACAGCAGCAGGATTCATGGTTGGGTCAACAAAGCAACAGAGCTGGGCGCATATGTGCACGAAACAACAGCACTAACTTCAGTAATTACCGCCCTCAGGTTGAGTGCTGAGCTTCATGACTGCTGGCGATATTTTAATTTTACCGCTAACAAAGTAGATTATCATCGTTTAGATGGTACTGTAATGTTACAAAGTGCAATCATGCAGCTCATTCGCAATTCACACGTTGTACAGAATCATCACTGATATTGAAAGTATTGTGGCCAGCAGAGGCATCTGCAAAGCAAGTGCAAAGAAACACTTGGATCAAAGAGTGTATATCAGTGGAGAACAAACCACCCCAACTCACCTGGTGCATGTAATCAGAGAAGTAATAAATGCCGACCACACAGGCAGTGGTGCTTGCTATGCAGATTGCCCATGCCAGGCCATGAACCATCAGTCTCCACAACTTCTGGCCCATGGTGTTCTTGACACGCTTATGATTCACCTCAGCCAACAGCTCCTGGAGATGGAGGAGGAAGGAAAAGATGTCATAAGGGAGAAAAAGAGTTACGAGATACGCAGAGTGTAGGGTATTATGAGGGAGGGACAAAGAATAATTAAAGGAAAGAATGTACTAGAACATCACATTCCTGTTTGCTAATAGATAGGAGGATGTGTTTTTGTAATTTCAGTGTGTGCATGTGTGTGTTTACCTTGAGCTGAATGCATATATTTTCAGACATGAGTTTAACAGAAGTTTTCTTGATGACTTTGAAGTCCCAGGAGCAGAAGGCCTTCATGGCCAAGATGCTATGAGATTTGTCGATTCTGAAGCTCTGACTTAACGACTTCGACATACTGTTGGGAGATTACATGTTTGCATTAAAGCAAAGAAGCAAACCAGAGGGAGACATTTTAACTTAAAACTAGCTATGTTGATTTAGACTTTACTAACATCATACCTGTACACAAGGATGATACATGTGATGAAGAAGGCCACTCCAATGGTGAAGAAGTATGCCAGTGGCATGTTGTAAGAGAGGCGCTTTGACTCACAGTCGCGTGTGGCTGTATTGGACATGGAGTCACTCAGCACTGCACCATCATCCTTGCAGGTCTTATTCAGCGTGTCGTTACAGTAGTATCCATAGTACATCACTGTGTCTGAGAAATAGCCCTGAGACAGGAACACATGACAAAAGCAGCTGTTTAGCTTTTAGTTTTACCTCTTTACTTAATATCAGCACTGTGCTAACAGCAAACAAGTACAGCCAACCCTGTCATAAGCAAACAAAAATGAACATTTGCTACACAGATAATCTATAAATAGGTGATTACTATTTACCTTGCAAACATAAACTTCTAAGGTTTTAAGACATTTTAGACTTAAAAATGTTAAATCAAAGTGCTTTGAACAACACACTTTGTCTACAATACTTCATTTTCATAACTACCACACTGAGCATTCTTAAAATCTACACCTTGCCCTTCATTGAAAAATCCAGACTTTTTTGAATAAGCTAATTCGGAAACTGCCAGGTTCAGCCAATCTACACTGGTGACTTCAAGTTTCCCCATCACAGTAAGATTTAGGAGAAGGCCTTATTTCTGGCTTAGAATAAGGCCTCGAGGGGGTGACTAGGCATGACTGTAATGCATAGTCAATCTACACAATGTAAATGCAATCAGTTGGTGCTACCTCACCTGACATAAGTCTATGAATGTTCCTGGTATTTCTGACCAAATCTATTTTCCTGAGTAAATGAAACCCAAATTATTAAAACTGGTTACAACTTTTCAAAAATCACAATTTCTTATCATTTTAACATTGATGATGTTTGGAGGGCATCAAAATAAATAAATCTGAGCTTCCTGCAACTAAGAAGTCATATGAAAAAAATACTTTATTCATCCCAGAAGGGAAATTCAATAATATATCAGTATATCTATATATATATATATATAATATCAATATAATATCAGCTGTGGCCAAGAGTCACATTAAATTCAGAGAATTTTTGACAGAATTCAGCTGAACTGCAGTCTGTGTTTACATAGACCAGACAGGAGACAAGGATGGGAATACATTTTTAAATCATGTATATGATGTAGAGCCACCATTTTTCTCTGAACTGGTAACACCTGTGGACATTTGAAAAAATGCTAAGAAACTGCTTGGGGTTCAGAGGGTTAAAGATGGCTATATTATTGTAGACTCATTATACAAGTCTAAAGCTTTTGAGCCCACATGTAGGATGTGGTGGATGTTTTCTACCAACTGAAGCCTCATTACATGTGAGAGGTGTTGCAATAACACACAGCCACAGCACAAAGCTTACCGCTCCAGTGAGGAGCTCCAGTCCAGAGAAGGGCTGTCTCCCTGCAGGCAGCACTGGAGGGTGAACTGCCTGAGGCAGCACCAAGAAGGAACCCGTGACCAGGAACAGGAAGAAGTTGAAGAAGAGTAGGGTCTTGAGGAAAAGAAAGTACGAGAGAACTCCAGTACCGAAACGCCCGCTCACTCTCTTGAGCGCCACTTGCCACAGCTGGAGGGAGTGCAGGAAGGACAACCAGCTGTACCAACTCTGTCTCACAGCCTGGGAGGAGACAGTACAAGAGATCAGGCAGAAAAAAAAGAGAAAAAAAATCAGTGTAGCAACACAAGGCAAAGTACACATGTGTTTTGGTTTTGAGTCTGACATCTGTGACTCACACAGAAAGTCATAAATGCTTGGGCAGCAGAGCATTTACACTGCCGCGATAACAACACTTACAGGAAATACCAACTGGCACCTCACCGCATCCTTAGATTAGAATGTATTGCATTGTCTTTTCATTTATGTCTATGTTTTTGTGTCCCTTTCATCATTTCAGAAAACTGATTACATTTCATGAGGTCATTACATCCAGACAGATGATTTGATGACTGCATATAAGACTGAAAACAAACCAACTGAAACAGTATCTAGACACCCTGTCAGAGGTAAAGAGACATAGTGTCTTGAAGAAAAGAAAAAACATCAAGCAGAACATAAAAAAATGCTTCTTGAGGTGTAAGTGACTTACAATCATGATGTAATATTTGAGTCGACTGCAACAGGGAAGCTTGCTGCCAGAAAGTGTCTGTTTTTCCTTTTGTAATGCTAACCTCCTGTACACAGAAACAACAAGGGAAATGCAGAGTGATACACAAAAACACAGTTACTCTGAATACAAGCAGTGAGAACGAGAACTTGCATTTACCTGAGTTCACCCTTCTCAGCCACACTGAGAGGCATCGCTCGGAGCATTCTGATTCTGTCGGTCACTGACAGGTTCTGCAGGTTGTTCACTAAACGTTCCCTCTTACTCCCTGTAATACACACGGACAACATTTTTTTAAAAGTACAAACAGATTATTACTTTTTCAAAACAGTCTAATCAGCGCACATCATTGTCCTCACCATCTGTGCCTTCTCCGTCTGTACAGTCCGCCTCCATGCCATAGCATCGTATGCTCGGTCTGGCAGAGGGGGAGAAGTCTTTGATGGACGGTCTGCTCTGCCTACGTCTGCGAAGCTGCATTGTCCTGTTGTAGTACTGAGAGATGATGGCTCCTCTGCTGCGGCCTGGAGGAGAAACAGGATCATTCAGAGATGGGATCTGCAGCGTTTAATTCTTCAAAGGTGCTCCAACACTAAACAATTTTTCAACTTCTTAGTACATCCAAATCTACCTCAGCTCTGCATCAGCATCAAAATCCATTCACGACTATAACAGTGATACTACAATATATCATAATCAAATTCTGTACACAATGCATAACAAACTATTTTAGTGAGGAAGCATACTTTAATATCAGTTTGTGGCTTTTTACACCTCCTGATTAAGATCACATAATTTGATCAAAATACAACTATTAAATGGACCTTTTACATAAGTTAAGCACAGAAACATAAACCGTTATCTCTAACTTTTACCATGTAGCACAGTTATCAAGCCATCTTCCCCAACATGGTGAAGCACATGATCTGCCACAGACAGGAAGACGACAAACAAATTGCTTCCCCATGAAACTGTGTTCAGTTGAAACACACCTATTTTTAATCTTTTAACACTCAATGTGTGCAGTATGGCACTAATACTGCCTGATGAACCATTAAAGTTATACAGAGTAAACCTATGCTAATGCAGTAGCTTATTTAATTGTTTAAGTAGGCTGGATTTCAACAGACTAAGTGTGGTAACAGCTTTTGCAACTGGCAGAGGAGCCTGACATTTTTTTTAGAGATGTCAAAACTGTTCAGTCTTACAGCATACATGCATTAATGTACCCTGTAACATCCGGCTGTCTCAGTGCTGCTGAGTCAAGCTGGTGAGTCAGCTTTCATCCTTGTAGTTAGTGAGTCCAGAGCAGTTTGTTTTCCCATTTTCTCAGGACTAAATGTCAAAACATCTATAAAACTCATTTGAAACATACAAAGTTTTTATGCACAAATTAACTCATATGCCCACCAGACTTTCAAACAAAAACAGTTTTACTCCAGATGTATTTATATTGCCCTATCTCTGCATGAGTATTCACTAGCCTTCTGCAGGACTCACCGATTGTGCGACTGGGCATGGAGGAAAGGATCCTTAAGGTTGCCGAAGACCAGCGTTCAGCTATGAGGGGGTCTGTTTGTCTTTCATCTTCCTCCAATTTCACATCCCTTCGCTCTTGAATCCGTCCCCTAAACTCACGTCCAGGGCTGGACAGGTAGGACACATTGTCTGTGGATAAAAAACACACACATACACATTTAGATATTGCCGTATGACGCTGGCAAATTAAAATCAAATACTGACATTTTAAACGGTAATGTGACATTTTAGGAATAACCAGTGGTGCCCTGAAATGACTTCTACATTAGAAGATTTTAGTGACACCCACACTGTGGATTGTATAGTACATTTTGTTCAGCAAGGACACTTAACTAAAATGAGAGATGCATTTAAGCAGAAAATAACATCTAAATTATCTATAGAAATAGTGGTGGGCAATAAATGTATCAGTATAAATATATTCTAAATATTGAAATAAACATATTTTTAGTAGACATTGCTAATCGTTGATCAATTTTATGACCTAATTTAAATAAAGACAAGGAAGAAAATTAGATGTGAGATTAGATTATGTGTTACGGTACACAGGTATAACTTCAATGTTACCACAACAACGAAAAACACACGCAAATAAATAGACTTACGCACATAAATAAAAATAAAGGATAAAGGAGTGAAATAAGAACCGATGGTGCATGAAGGGTGACCAGGGTCAAGCCAACACACTGAGCTTAAGGTCCAGACTGGCTGTCCAGGACTAGGTGTCCCCTGATTGAGACTCTGCACCAGCCTCAATGCGCATTCCTATGTCTAGTCAATCAGTCCTCGAAGCAGGCTGCTGGGAGTGTATCGCTTAGGTGGCAGTGGTGGGAAATATGGTGTTGTGGGTGTTTTCTGACAGCGAAACCCTACTGGTCCCTGTTGGCTGCAGCCTCCTTTAGAGGAGGTCTGCTGGCATGTACAGGAGTGAGGAGAGGCCCAGGCTTCTGTGGATTATTGCGCTTTCTGAGACCTGCATGGAAGCCTCAAGAAGAGCGACGGAGGGTGAAGGGATTTCATTATTAGGAGATATCTTTGTTTATGAGCCTTTGTTTGAGGTTTGTTCATCAAACTAAGCTTTGCATTTGCATTATGTGCTTTGAATACATGTAAGAGAATCTATTACAACAACTTTCTTCACTGAAGTGTCTATCGCCGGTACATATCACTATCATTTCATCGCCCAGGCCTATATAGAAACATCAGAACAATCCCAGACAACATTTTTCTATACGACATATCAATATTATATTTTCACAATGTCGAACTTTTGTAAAAATTCATTTAAGGTCATCACATGCAGTAAACACAATACCTTGACCCTCCTCATCCAGTTCTCTCTGCAGCTGCTGCAGCTCATAGGCATCAGACATTCCTCCATTCTGACTCTGTTCTGCTATCAGCTGGCTGAAAGAGTCATGGACGCCTTCCTCATCCACTGGGCTCCTAACAGAGGGACACATGGACATGAGGACAGACACAAAAGCAGGAAAAAGGGTGGTACAAGATAGCTAGATTCAAAGGCATGCTTCAGTGCAGATGCAGAGTGCTCTGGGGACCTGAAGCCACTGAGTTCATTACAGATAAAGCACTCTCTGGCTCAGTCACCAGTAATCCCATGGGTACAGCAGCACAGCACAGATTGCCTGGTGTGTGCCCTTCTTCCTGCACTATCTAGTTGTACAGTACGTTAAAGTCAAGTGGACTGGCTGCTTTTGTCTTGTTAAAGCAAAAAGGAAAAAAGAAAAAAAATTCAAGAAGAAGCAGAATGTTCAGTTCCCTTTGACTTAGTACTTTTACACAGATAGCGCAGAAAGCAAAACATGCAAGCGCACACACCTATTCAAACACGTTCAACCAAACAAATATGAGTCTATGAGAACAATGGGAGTAGTAGCCGGTCATATGGTTGGAAAAGAAAAACATACATGAAAGCCATGGGACAGTGGCATTATGATCTGCCTACACAGCTAATCCTTTCCTCCCACTCTCACGGCCTTCACGTTAACTATCATTAGGCAAGCCGACAGCTCAAATCAGAAAAACCAAACAGAAAAACTGAGAAGGAAAAATGGGAGGAACATGAGGAAATGGAGAGGCCTATAATACTTACTCCAGTCCGGCTTCCATAAGAGGGTGGCTCAAGTCAAAGTTTACATTTCGGGCCATTCTTCTTTTCCTCCGGCAGTATCGATTTGTTCCGCTGTCGGCCTTGTTGTCGACCGATTGCAGAGGGATCACACCCTCACCTGCTCAGACCTGCAATCCACTCCCACCATGGTGTTTATTCCTCTACCTGAGAGAGGAGGGGAAATGAAGGGGGAGGCGGAGCGATGAGTGGCTTAGAGGTAAGAGGAAAAAAATGCCAGCAGACTTCCTTGGAATTTGAACGTTCTTGTCGTGTTACTGCTTGTTCTGAACAGGAAACCAACCTCAAGGACTATTTATACGAGTACAGACTTTGGAACGTCCACTCTCAGGTCCCATTTAAACTTTGCCTTAATGTGTGACCTCCTGTATGATGGTAAGAAGAAAAAAAACAAAATCTCTCCGCATCCTTTTTTCTGCAGTCAGCCTTCAGCTGCTTTTATAAAAAGCATGACATGACAGTGACTCATGAGGATAACTTGTCATGAGGGATTACGCAATTTCATCCACACTGATGTGAGAGCTCCATTGTGGCACTGCTTGTGATGAGGACTGTGGTCAGAGTCAGAAGGCACAGTGTCACCAGTGAAATGAATATGCATGGATGTGGACAGAAAGATGCATTGTCAGATTTCAAGCCTGTCATATAAAAGATTTGGAGCAAACATCTTGGTTACTGTGTTTTTGTGTGCATTTAATGCCCATCTGCCCTCACTTATATGCAACAACTTCGTATAAACCTTTATCAAAGACACAGAAAGGATCTGTCCTGTTGTTTTTATGACATCTGTGGTTATGCATTAAAGCAAGTATTAGTAGAGAATTTGGAATTCAAGGAAATTGAATCCAGATATTCATTAATGACCAATAAAATCTCTTTACAAGATCTACCCAACTTTGCTTTGATAGAACAGCTTTTGACATCATAGTTGTTTACAAAACAAAAGCTGATCCAATAATATATCCACATACTGAAGAGTTAGGAAGATAAAAAACTGATATTAAACATGTTGATTATTTCATTTTTAAGGACGGGGGATAGGCGACATACAAGGTGAACTGATCTAAAATATCAACCATTAGAGATTTAGCGGTCCTGTTTATATCATGGTAGATCTCTCATAAATATTTCTTGGTTTATGAGGTCAATGCAAATGATGATGCAAACCAATGAGCATGACTGTTTAATCGACATGCATTTTTTACAAGGTCTTTGTGTTCATGTGCCAGAGTACTGATGTATGATAAGGTTTCAGGTATTTGCATCACTGGAAAAGCCAAAAACAGACATTCATCTCTGATTACTTCATGTATTTCTCAAAGGACCATCCATTAAATAAAGTTACATATACAGCAATAGAACCCATTTTATTGTCTTTTCCTGTTTAAGTTATGACTGTGTCAAACTAACTGTTGTTTTTTTTCACTGCTAGCAGCTTGAAAAAAGGGTGGCCAATACAAAAAAAATTATTTGTGCATTAATTGTCACAGTTCGACCACATTGTTAGAATGTTAATTATTTACAATCCGGTTGTAAAAGTGAGAATTATATGGTAGTCAATTATTTATTAGCGATAAAAAGTTTCACTACGAAATTTAGACACACAAAACATATTGTGAAAGATGAGCTTAGCCTGACTTGTCTCAACTTGGTATCTATGGGATCAAAGAGCAGCTTCTTACAGACAGACAACTTCTTAACAGATGCCAATTTCTGTATCTATAAAGATCCCTGCGAGAATAGATTAGGTTACATCAAACATCAGATCCATTTCCTGTTTACATGCAACCACGAGAGAAGCAGTTTTTCCTAACTATAGTGGTGATGGGACTCTAAGGATTTTATCTAAGAGCTGAGGTTTGCTGAGGTTCTAATAACCAAAGAAATATTTCTCTTCTATGTGCCTCTGTGGAGAGCTGCTACCAGATCCTACAGACATCCAGCAATGAAGCTAAACTCAGCTAAGCTCACCATTCAACAAACATTCAAAGTGCACACACAGATGTAAGAAGCTTATGAGTTTGTGTCATTCTGGGAAAGCCAGAAAAAAAATCCCCACAAACTTGAGTATTGCTTAACCACTATCAAGCTGTTTTTTTCCAAGAAGCTCTTACACTGCTAACATACAGCTCAGTATCTACTCACTGCAAAGAGCTGAACATAAACGTATCCACCATTTTACAAATACAAGATGAATGTGTTTGTTTAATGTGACTGCCTTTTATAGTGTATACTGCCTAAATAACAGCTTACAATTAGTGCATAGTTAAATCACTGCATAAGCATGAACGTGCATGTACATAGGCTACAACAGAGACCCAGATCTTCTGCTTGGGGAGGAGGTCTGTCTGGTTTTGATCTCGAGAGAACATGATCACAGCATGCATAAAGTAGGGCGCAGCTCTGGTTATCAGCCAGCATGCTGACGAAATGACTGAATGGCTCAAAAATGTCCCTCTACCACCTTCAGCTTGTTCTTTTTAGGCCCTGCTACAACAATCTACTGCATACATATGCTCTTTGTTCCTCTCAAACATACTTTTCTCATTACCCAAGGTTTCCAGGATCATGTTACACTTTCCTTATGTCTCTGTTTCCATATATTCTTTCTGTTTTAGCTCTTCTTTTCCAACTTTAACTCTGCAGAGAAAGAAAAACAAACACTACAGCTTTATGCAACACTATGTAACTGAAGTAATTCTCGCTATTGTAGGGAGCATTCAGAGTTATTGTCTGTTTTATTTTAATGTGTATGTGATTACTAATATTGAAGCAGTCCTCTGGGGCTCTACAGCCAGGACAGGATACTGTGGGAGTGGGATGAACACTCAAAAACAGCTTGACGGGGGTCAGAGTTGAGCTGCACTACTGCCAAAATCCCGGAAAACAATGTATGGGACAACAGAAGTTCAGTGAGGGTTAAAACTAGGCAACGGGTTCATTAGAGAACACTTCTTTTAGAAATAGGAAATAAGTAGTATGAAATAAAGCTTAACCTTACAAGAGCTAGAAGACAGATAGAAGACAAACAATGAAAATATCATGGTCCATCAATCTAAACACTGCCTAGCATCACATAAATAGGCAGATATTTTCTAACAGAAGCACTACAGAGTTATCGGGAGGTATGAGGGTGAAAGCAAGTGGTAAAGACAAGGGAAGGGTGTAAAGGAAACTGTCCACCCTGACAGCTTTCAACAACTGCAAGGCCATCAGTTCCCACGGTGCTGAGAAAAGCCAATAGAGGCAGCAGGGAAGCACAAAGCTGCAGTCAACGTGGTGGCAGAGAGGCTTGTATTTCCATACCCCGATGTTTTCAGTCAAGCATCACAGTTCGCCTCAGGAATGGGAGGATTACAGACAGAGAATGAGACCTGCAATTTTTTGTTAAAGTTGAAAGGACACGAAGGTTAGAAACTAGACAAAAAGTTAGAAAAGAAAACTCATGACAAGCGGGGCAGCCAGTGAGTAGTAACAGGGTACTAACAGAAGAGATGGAGGCAGACAATAGAGAAAATATGCATGTAGTCAACACAACTCTGCTGTCATAGTCATGCATAGGCGTAGAGGGGGGGATACGTCACTTCCCTAAACAAAAGACACAAAAGAAGACAGAAGAGTAAATCATGCCTATATTTGTGTGTTGACTCACTAGGGATAATATAAATAAGAAAAGCTGCTCTACAGGGGGAGTCCAAATTAAAAGGCAATGCTCGATTATATCCCATAGTATTTTGAAATGTTGCCTGGTGGCAGATTTTTGTGTTTTCTTACAAAGATATTTCTACTGTACACTGATGGAAGAAATGCACAAATTTGGTGCATAACCCAGAAAGCAGATAATGAAATACTCAAAAACTGTCCAGATCCCAGCTTTGTGTGTACCCTCTCCTCCCCAAATACTCAAACAAAACCTACACCCATGGACACACACAATTACACTGCTACTGCACTCTTACTGAGACCCACAATAGTCTCTCCACCCTCATTCAGAACAGAGGACGCTAAATTATAGGTTTACAGCTGGCTGCATCACAGAAACTGAAGACTGATGTGGCAAGAAACATCTGTCTTCCTCTTAATGTAAGGAAAAACCATCCAACATACCATCTAGAGTTACACAATACACGAAAAATGCTCATTCAACCGAGATAGGGAATCTGGTGCAGACTTTTCTGTTGAACAAGCTCACATGTCAGTGTTTTAAAGTCAAGAGGGATACAGTCAGGCTTCTCTCCGGCTGTTGTTTGTTTGTTGCCGACTAGCTTAAACATCGACAAATGCTAGTTACTTGAGGACCAGCGGCTGGCTGGCCGGGTCAACCTGTCAACGAGTTTCACGAAATGGACCAAAGTTTAACTCAGAGTTGAGCACAAATCTTTTTCCATAAAACAGGAGGAAGCCAGAAGAAGCTAAAGAGCAGTTCAAGTCTTAAAATAGTTGCCATAGTTGTTAACTTACCCGCTCGAAAACCAAACAAACCCGTTGAGTCTTTGCTGCCAGTGTGTCAGTCAAAATAGTCCACACGCGCAACAGGACAGCGGGGAGAAACCACTGTGGGACGTTTGAGTTTCTACTCTTTAGACTGCTCAAACTAACGGCTAGTCCTGTTTTTTCCCCTTTCACACACAAATAGACAAAGTTAATCCTCTAAAATGTGAAGTAATCTCCAAATGCTTTGACCTATTCACCGGCACGACCCGCTACTGATAACGAAGTAACTTTGAGCTACCCCCCGCAGAGTTGACACTCTTGGTTCAGTCCTATTCAGGCTCCTCTACCGGTATTAGTCTGCAGCTCAAACAAAGCAAACACACAAAAGGCAGTCAGAGTGTAATTTCAATGCTGAACTGCCTGTGTCTCTGTTATTTGACATGGAAATAATTACCAGGGATTGTGGCACAAAGTGATTTTTTAAATTCTTCTTGTCTGTGCCTTATTTTACCGACTTTGTGCCCTAGATTATAACAAATTCAGCTGTTTTACGAGTTAACTACTTCAACTCATTTAATAGTCTTCCATTTCCAAAATAGTGAATGCAGCCCCAACAATGTGACTGAAATGTAATTAATGCAGCCAAAATGACTTATTTCATTCATGGGGGTTATATTTTAGATTAGAGCTCATGGGATTTGTTTTTCTTTTGCATAAAATCCATCCATAAATCATGTTACTTACAGTCTAGTTTCCAAATATAAACAAGAAGATTAGACACACCAAACACATCCAGTCTAAAAATCAGAAACACTACAAAAATATAGCATTATGAACTAAAAATATCTCTTTACTCACAATCATTTGTGTATTTGCACAGTTTAACGCTTTGACCCAGATAGCAACAGGTGGAAACATTTATAAACTGGACAAAAATCAGTGAATGAGTCTACATTAATTAAAAAAAAAAAAAAAAAAGAACATCAAGAAATACAAACAGTACTTTATGAGATTTTACAGGTACTAAAAGGCTCACCTGTGCAAACACTGTGTTTCTCTGAAAAACTGCATTTTTCAGTAAATGCAGAGAATAAGAAAAGTAGAGTTAAAAGTTCTATGCTTGATTTTCCCCAAACAAAGGCAATGACTTGTGTGGTGTTTTTTGTTTTTGTTTTTTTTTTACCTTTCCTTTTGATCGTTTATTAAATTATCAAAAAAACTACCCTTATAGAGAAAATTATTAACTTTAAAATGAAAGCAATATCCAAAAAAATCATCTTGTCATTTAATGGCAGTTGCTATTTTACAAGTGACATTTTCTGTGTTTTGCATTTATTTTTGATCCAATTGCAACAATTACCTTGGAAGAGCAGCACGAACATAGATAACAGCTATAAATAGTATTTGTGGTACACACAGTAAATGTTCTTGTACAGTTTTGTAATGTATCACTATTTTAAAAACATTTAATAAAAAGAGTCATTTTGCAGAACAATGAATTCTCTATAGTTGCACGTACTATTTGTAAAGTTTTGAATGCAGTACTTTTATTTTCAGTGTCACATTTTTATCTTTAGCTGTTACTTCTTGGTAAAAAGGTTCATGCATCCAGTGGGTTTTGTTGGCTTTGAACCAAAAAGCTGATACAGAGACATTTACTTCTCTTAGTACCATCTCTGGTGCCAGTTCTTAGGGGTTGCTGTGTGCTCATGTTTCTATCTAATTGAAAATAATCCGTAGGTGTTAAAGTTTCAGTAGAACGGAACTCGATTATGTTGAAATAGCGTTTAAGAAATGACGCCCATGCTCATGTTTCTTTGTAAATGGAAGCAGAAATGTCTCTGTGGTGTAGCAGCGTGTGGGTGTAAAGAGCCTTTTTGCTACATCATTTCACACATGACGCTGAAGCATCGGCTTACAAATGGTGCAACACCTCCCACAGTGGATGATGTTCGATCTGTGTAGCATGATTGTTAATAGTTTACACGGATTCAATGAATAATGCAGAAAATGGTAACACTAAAAAGTAGGTCAGTCTGATGTGAACCCTGGTCAGTTCTGGCCTTCAGCCAAACCTCATTCATTCTCATCTATTACAAATGCATCAAATAATGACCTTTAAATTCACTTGTTGTTTATCAGTCCTGTGTGTATTCATTTGTATTTTTTTCTTACCAGTGCAATGCCCATGTCTGCATCCTGTCATGTGATTTCCTGTAAGCTGTCAAATTCAGCCTCAGTGTGGACAAGTCTAACCTCTGCTCCACCTGACAGAAAGTCAGCCGCAACACCAGTGCTTCAGAAACAACTCCGCATCAGCCGTTTACGGGTCTTCTCTTCGTCGGATATTATTGATGCACCATGCGGTTGTTACTTCCCACCTTTTAGAGCTTTAAGCAGCAGTTTATGTGAAGAAGTTTGTCAAGATGTGCCGTAAATGATGTGAGACGTTTGGATGTTTCTATTGTTACATTTTTTGATAAAGAGGAAGTGCAAGAGGAAAAAATGGAGGAAACAGTCAACTTCATGAGACTCTTATCAGGTAACAGAGCATAAAACAAATGTATATACGTGTGTGTGACAGCGTAAGACCACATCTTGCTTGTTCAACACTGTGTCAGTACATATAGTGAGTGTGAATGTGGATGCGACTACGCTGAATGATACGTTTACAACACAGAACATAAAGTGTGTCTTTGCAGTTTACTGGTTGCTGGTTTGTGTCTAACTCATGTCACATCCAAGACTGTGCACGCAAACACATATTTTTTGCCACATTAAGGTGTTTGTATTCAAAAAGAACGCACTTGAATGTTTTGCATATTTGGTACCATCTTTAAACCTTAGTAGATATAAACTAAATAGAACATACAGCAAGAACTGAGCTGATTATTGATTGATTTGCTGTTTTCTCTTGTTTATGTCATTGTAATGTGAATGTGTTTGGGTCTTGCGCTGCTGGACATTTGGAGATTTAGCCTCAAGGGAATTATCTGCAGATGAATTCATAATTAAAATAATACAATAAGTTTTCTTCTACCTTGATGTCTCTCCCCCACAGAGGAAAGCACTCACTCCACACTGTCTTCAGACTCCTGTGAATACTATCAGACAGAGATATTTGACCAGCTGCCCAGCATCCAGGCTTCGCGGCCCGAGCAGAACAGACATGGTTCTTTGGGAGGCTGTGGTGGCTCAGAGCCGGGGCAGAGGCTCAGCCATGACCACCTGTCCAGAGGACCCAGAGACAAGACGTCTGTACAGCCTCTCAGGAACTTGCCCATGTGTATTCAGGCGAAGAGAAGTGCCAGGTGGGAAAAGCGCACACTCCCCAAACCTGCTTCTCTTCAATCTCTATCTTATATTAAAGTGTAAAAGGTTAATGCTGCTACATGCACAAGCTTTACAGTATGGAGTGATACAAAACTTAACGTCTTATTAATTCACTGGCATACTACTAAATTCTGTTCTCAGCAGCATTTCCTCCTTAAATCACTGCATTATTCGCATGTACGTGTTAATTTTCATTCTTGTCTTGCAGAAATACGTTTATTCTGCTTTTCTATCCACTCAATCATCTTTTCATGATGTTTATCATGAGCCTTGAGTGGTTTTCAGCTTTGGAATCACTATCATATAAAAAAACAACAACCAAAAAACACCTTAGAATAGAGCGTCAGGTGGCTCACATGGTGGAGTGGATGCACTATGTACCAAAACACAGTCCTTAATGCAGCAGTTGAGGTTCAATCCCTCCATAGGTCTTTGTTGCATGTCTTCCCCTCTCTCTTTGCTTTTCCTGCACAGTAAAAAGTAAGTTTGTAGTTGTGCTAAACTACTGTTTCAAATGAATCTCATTTATCTTTCTGCTCTGAGGATGGCAGTTTGCTTTTGTGGATTTTACTAGCTTGAAATTACACTGTGTCCACCTAAATGGATATTCGACGAAAGTGCACAAATTTGGTTTACTACTCATCTGATGTCATGACATCCATGTTTCTTACATTTTCTGCTAAAACTCAACCACTGTTTACTTTGAGTAGGACTAAAGAGTAAAGAAAGCAAAGAATAATGAGCGTAATGACGGAATTATTGTTTTATGTTTTGATAAAGGAAACGCTGGAAACTTTAGCTTGTTGTCGCAGTGCAAACGGTTCATTTGAAAGGAATCAGAGGATTTAGGTACATTTAACTTAAATCAGCGGCATTGATATTACTTGTTCTACTTTGGATACACTTCAGTCAATTGCATGTTACCATTTGAAGCAATTCATTAAAGTTGGTCCATCAAATCTGCCACCAACTCAATCTGTCTGTTTCTTAAACTGGCAGTCAGTCACAGAAGACATTACTCAGCTGTTTTCCCAGTCCTGCTAATGATGACTTAAAGACCACCTGCAGTGAAAACCAAGTTGTTGTTGTTGTTGTTGTTGTTGTTTTACCTGTTATCGTGTCCATATTGTGTTTTTTTAAAAGACATATCATGAGCAAAACAAGAAGTCAACATCATGGTGGAGCATTTCCGCCTTGAAATTGCAATGACACACTTAAAAAACATGGATTCAGACTTCTGGGGTTTCATACATAAAAACTTAAGGAACCAATTCTGTCAACTTGCAGGGTGGGGTTTTTGGTATCCTAAATATTCTTCAAAATATTTTCTGGTTCTGACATGTATGGCTGAATTACTATTTCTATAAGAAAAAAAAAAATCATCAACTCAGTGTAAGTAATTTTGATAAACATGGATGCGGTTTTTAGGAGTTCAATCAAAGACTGAAGCAGGACTTAAATAGATTTTCATGTGTAAAATCAGTGGATTAAACCTTTAAACTCAATATGGTCAAATCTTAGCTTAGCATAAAGAGTCTGTGAGCTTGAATTCATATTTTGTTTTTGATTATATGCTGTGTTGGTGCTGTTTTTGTGGTTAAGGCCTGGATCTATGTGTTAAACATAGACATTAATTGCATGAATATTATATTTTTGGTGCCAATTAGGGACAGGAGGAAGATGCAAATCAGCAATATTGGTTTTTGGGAGTCCTGGAGGCGAAGTCAGAGCATCAGCAGGAGGAGAGTTTGGGCACAGATGGGAGAAACTCTGTCCGGCCTGTTGCCATGGCGGCACACACTTCACGTCATAGAAGGTAAGAAAAGGCCTTTGCGATTTATATGGCTGTGTATAGCTTGTGTAGCAGCTATAAACTCCCTCACATGATTAAAACCTTGTGCCGTCTGTTCCAGGCAGGTTTGGAGTTGGCGTGAAGTCCTACTTTGTTTTCCTCAGATATCTGGTTCACTTGAACCTGCTCCACTGTGCTCTGATCTCGGGATTCATTCTGGGGCCCACAACATTTTATGGCAGAAGTAACAACAGTGGTGAGTCATCTGTGATGAAAGATGCCAATAAAAATAGCCGCAACTGCATGTAGACTCCTAAAAAAGACTCTCATGTTTGACTTCACAGAACCGTTGAGGTTTGGAGACAACGACTCTGTTTTAGATTTCTTCCTGGGATCAGTAAGAGTTAGTTTATTCCTCATGTGTACTCTCTGCTCCCTATACATGTTTTATATTCATGTTCCATATCTTCTCTAGGGCTACCTGGATCGATCTCCGGTCTTCTTTGGTTTTTATACTCGCGGTTCCCTGGATTTGCCGTGCTTAAACACACCTCTACTGTACCTCGCTGGAATCCTCACCATCCTCCTCCTCAGCCTCATTATGGTGGTCCGCAGGTGAGTGATCCTCAACAAGGCGACAGAAAAAAGTTTCAGTAGTCATTTTTCTTACATTTACTCACCTCTGATAGAACCACAGTTGGCTACAAGCACACCTGGATGCTCGGGAAGCGCTACAGCATGAATGTGAGCTTTAAGATCTTCTGCGGCTGGGACTTCACCATCCAGGATCCTGACGGTGCTGCTCTCAAACGCAGCTTCATCAGAAATGACCTCAAGGTGAATGGATGGATACTCCACATCTGCATGCATGAGCCCATTCTTTGGTACAGGGGAGTGAATGTGCTGCAGTTCCTGACCAAAGACTGGCAAAGTTTATGAGTTGCAAAATATTACAAAACATTGTCGATACAATTCAGCAGCACCACAAACTTCTGCCTCCAACTTCCCATAAAGTTGATTAATCTTCTCTCTAAAATAGCTTTGACGTTTTGACAGCGGTGACACTGCAAATTTATAAAACTTACTGGAAATGAGAAGGTCATTTGATGTCCTTCTCACTCAGTGCTTTTTGCCAGCATCACATTTTTCCTCACTGTGAGCTCATTTTTCACTGCAATGTAAAGTCCTGCACCTCTATGGGAACAGCACAATCATGACTAGAAGAAGAGAGAACTCACACATGGGTTTTGTACAGCATGACAGTTGTAATGCCATAAATCATAAAATAAACTAAAATAAACAAAATATGAAATAAATAGGGCTGCAGGGTGGCGCAGTTGGTAGCACTGTTGCCTCGCAGCAAGAAGGTTGCCAGTTCGTGTCCCGGTGGGGGCACCGGAATCTTTCTGCGTGGAGTTTGCATGTTCTCCCCGTGCAGCGTGGGTTCTCTCCGGGTTCTCCGGCTTCCTCCCACACAGTCCAAAAACATGTTGGTGATTCTAAATTGTCCGTAGGTGTGAATGTGAGTGTGCTTGGTTGTCTGTCTCTAAGTGTGGCCCTGCGATAGACTGGTGACCTGTCCAGGGTGTCTCCTTCCTTCGCCCTAAGTCGGCTGGGATAGGCTCCAGCCCCCCGCGACCCTAGTGATGATTAAGCGGTGTATAGATAATGGATGGATGAAATAAATAAGAAATAAATAAAATAAACATCTGGAATCAGCATGTGTAACTATGCCCACAGATGCTTCCAGTATAGAGAAAAAAATGTCAGAACACTGTATGTACATTTTTCATTTGTATTTACTCTCTTCTCAAAACACAGTTTCAGTTTTAAAGTCCCAGAATTTTTGTAAAGTAACTGTTGCAGCCGAGTCACTAATAGTTTTACAGATGCATTGAAGAGTGCAAAATATTTCATTTCTTTGTGAATTTGGTTACCGAGTGACCGGTTCAATTTATGCATTTTTTTTTTTTTTAATGAGACCTTTACAACAAAATGATTTTGATGAAATACAATGAATTTAAGCCTAGATTTCCCGACAGAACCTCATGCCACAGATCAGTAGTTCAACTTTTCACAGTTTCTGAGTCTTCTAAATGGTGTGATTTTGGTCATTTTTCAAAAGATTTTCAAACACAGGTTCTGGAGGTTCAGAGGGTTTGAATGAAAATGTCTGCACACAGTTTATAAAGTAAACATGCTACATGGTTCTTCTGGTGTTTAACTGGAGGCTTTGGGTTGTGATGAAATGGATCTGATATGGACGCCATCACAGTCTGTATCTCTTCCTCAGCTGTTCCTGGAGGAGCAGAGCTTCTCCTTGCGGGCGGCTCAGAGGACACTTGGACAGAAGGTTCGTCTCTACCTGTTGAGGTTCATCCTCAACCTGCTTGTTTTGTCTCTGCTGGGTGGAGCCTTTTACCTCATCTACTTCTCCACAAAAACATCCCTGTATGAGGTAAGGATTCAATGCTGAGTGTCTTGTTTTGTTGCAATTCGCAGCTTAAGAATTACATTCTTCGTACGTGGCTGTGTTTCTCAGAAGGAACACTACTGGTTGCTCAGTCTGGTCCTCCAGTATCTTCCTCCCATGACCATCACCTTCGTCAACCTCGTCCTTCCTCACATATTCCGTAAGATCTCATCCTTTGAAGATTACTCTTTCACCACACAGGTGAACGCCACGCTTGTGAGGTAAGGTGCACACAGGGAGATAAACACACACACACAGACACACAGACATGGATTCACCCTGCTTTCTTCTTCAGGAGCATCTTCTTGAAGCTGGCCTCCCTCGGGATCTACTTATTTTTCTTAACAACAACAAAACAACAGCAGGTGTGTTGAGAGTGAGATTCAAGTTGCAACAGCGTTAATGAGACATCATCACTTTCAGGACTGAGATGTGATTTCAGGAATAAAGTGGTTTCTATAACTTAGTTTTTCATTTGTTTGTGTTTGTTTTTGCAGAGTCCTTTTCAGTGCAGCGAGAACAAGTTTGGCAGAGAGATGTACAAGCTGTGCATCTTCAACTTCCTTGCCACTTTCTGCAACGCCTTTCTCTTGAACTACCCCAGGAAGTGGGTTTGCTAAAAGAGTAGCACTTGGTTTCTTTCTGAGTCATTGATGTGTTTTAAATGGAAAAGTTACTGGGCATGACATCTGTTCTGAATAGATTCCACAGCAGATCAGGAGCGATTCAATCAGTTTTTTTTTTTTTTTAACTTTAGAAATAAGTTCACAAAACCTTAAAAAAAAAACTTCAGACATAATTTTTTTTTTTGTCTTTTCTTTTAATTTGGTGTATTGAAGTCAGGACTGATGTTGGTTTAAGAAGTGTATTCAGTGAAAATGGAAAATGATATTAATATCAAACATTTTTACGCCAGTTTTTTTGACATGATCCCTTTTGTCTTTCATGTCATGAGTGTGAATTTTGGAAAATACCTGATTTTTTTGTGGGAGTTGTTTCCATAAAAATAGCATTTCAAGGTTTAAAAATCTTGAAAATGAATGAATATTGTGTTGATATATAATATTTTATGGCAGTGTTTCATGCAAACATTTTCATCTCCAAGGACTCTAATCCAATGTCTAGGCGTGAAAACAATCAACAACAGGGAAATTGAATGAAAAAGAATTTAGCAACACACAAACAACAAATCAACCATCTTCCCTCTGCTTGACAGGCTGCTGCAGGAGAAGTATCCCACATCCCTGCTGACCCGGTTGTTGGGGAAACAGCGCTTTCTGGTCCCTTTCAATGTTCTAGATCTGGTGTACGGTCAGACTGTGGGCTGGGTGGGAGTCTACTACTGCCCTCTGCTGCCCCTGATAGGAACCGTCACACTGGTGGCCACGTTCTACATCAAAAAGGTAAAAGTTATACATCAACTAGTACAAGTCCACTCTTCAGCTAACTCTTTCTCCCTGTTTGTGTTTCTTTATGTTTAAATTCAATTCAAATGGCACTACTAACATGATTGCTGGGAGGTGTGCAATAATAATTTACTGAAAAGATCAAAAAACTAGAAGCAATAAATTCTGAAACAACAACTGCAACAGCCACATTCTGTAGTTGATATTAGGATAGCAGTATTTAGATAATTTACTTAAGAAAAATAGCAAGCAAGTGTTAAAGTATAATAGAAAAATCCTGCATAAAAAAAGTCCTGCTAATGTAAAAGCACAGCAGTAAAATGTAGTTAAACTATCAAAGTAAAAAGTCCTGGTTTGGTCCATCTGACTGATATATTTTTATATATGGCACCATTACATTATTAATAGTGAAGCTTCAGTGTGTCAGCAGCCTGTTACTGTTGGAGCTGTGCAGCTGGTTTGAACTTCTTTACAGACAGTTTTACATACAGGGACACCAGATAAATCCCAGATGAACGAAAGAAGAAAAAACATCCTGCTTATCCGCCTTCAGGTTTTTTTGTTTTTTTTTTACACTATTCTTTGATTTTTAGAGAGACATTGGATCATTTAAACATTGAATAAAATGCAACCATGTGAGAAAGTCACTTTTTGGTGAAGCTTTATTGAAAGAATTATTGAAACTAAATTGCTAGAAGTTACTAATAAGGAAGAAAATGAAAAATAGAATAGAATAGAATAAAACTTTATGGATCCCTTCGGTGTAAACCTCAGGGAAATTGTTGTACTAGAAAAACAACACAACACCAACACAACATCAGCTACAACAGTAACAACAACAACAACAACAACAATAATAATAAGATGGTTACTTGAAATATAATACAGATTGTGGACGTTATTATTTTCTAAAGTATGACTGGACAGCTGTGTTTTAATTAGTTTTTAATAGAATAGTTTCCCAACAGTGTTTGTCTCTCTGTTTTCAGTTCAGTGTCCTGCGCTGCTGTGTGGCAGAGCAACGCATGTTTCGAGCCGCAACCTCCTCGGTTTTGTTCCACTTGATGTTGCTGCTTGGTCTCGTCATGGCTGCAGTCACACTGGGCTTCAACCTCTACCAGCCCGGAACGACACCAGACGAAAACATGTACTGTCTTTACTGTAACTTGGCACCCTGCAACATGCACATATCAGCTTCTTTAGGGGTTTAACTGTTGATATAAAACAAATTAATTTTTTTACACAATCATAAAGATCACATTTATACTGTACTTATTTCTCTAATTTTTTTCTCCTCTTTCCACCCCAGGTTCTCCTGTGGTCCGTTCAGAAATGGAGAAACTTTGTTTAATGTGACAGGACTTTGTGTCGACAGCCTCCCCGGTGCAGCCCAGACCACCGTCCGATACCTGGCCTCTGAGGCCTTCGCCCTGCCGCTCATACTGGCTGAGATGTGAGCAAAGTGACAGTTCATTTAACTCCACTACAAAAGTAACCCATTTATATTTGCAGTGTGATAAGTTGGTTAGTTCAACTTGTTTCAAGACTGCTTCATCCTGTGGGTCAAGGCTATTTATTGGCATAGCACCCCTCATACAACTAAATGCAGTTCACAGATGATGAGCTGAGAGAAAGAGTGAAATGCAACTAGAATAAAACAAAGTTGAACAAGACTAAGAGTAACATAACAAATTCAGATCAACAGAGAAGGCATAAGAATACAAGAAATGACCAATACTGTATTACAAACTACATAAACTAGTTTAACCTTCATTTGACCTTATGGGCATTTTTGTGTTTAAGGTCCTGAGTCAGTTATAATAATTTAAAAAATCCCTTTAGCATTTATTATATAGACATTGTTATATAGATCTGTTTGTGCTTTTCATTTCAAATACAGTGGCATTATGTAAACAAGCTCACATTTAAAGGGTAAAATCTGTATAAAATTGGAAATTTTTTTTTTTTTTTAAATCAATGTATATTGTTGAATTATTATCAGGTCTGATTTTGGTTTACATATTTACTCAGTGAATGTTGAAAACAATATTAATAGATAACATTTTATATGGCATTATTTACATTTCTTGTCTTAATGTCCTGACTTTACGTTTTTAAACTATGCATCAGAATCAGTGTTGTTGCTAATCTATGACTTATCAGTGACTATACTGTGCAAAAAATGGCATTTGAAGGAATATAATGCTAAAAAAGTTACTGGATATTTGGTAGTTATGATGACATGTACTGTTTAAAAAACATGTCAGTGAAAGTGAAAAATTATATATTTATGTCACTTCTTCTTTTGACATAGTCATTTTTGTCTTTAAGGTCCTGCCTGTGACTTGTGAAAAACAGTAAAACTAAATAAATAAATGAACAATAAAATGAAGTAAAATATAAAACAACCCTGGCATCATATGCACATTTAAAGATTTAAAATCTTGCAAATGAATGAATATTGTGTAGTCATAATCAGGACAGGCATTGGTTAAAAATGTACTATATTAAAATGAACATAATATTTTTATGTGGGTGTTTGATGCAGACATTTTCATCTTTGAGGAAGTTGTGTAACTTTTTTAAATTTATATCTCAGCTCTTAGAGTTAAAAAGAATGAAATTTAGCAACATACAATCAACAAAGTAAATTATTAGAATTACATGCTTTTTAAAAGTAATCATCATCTGTGAATGCAAACTTTTTAGAAAAATACCAGTGCACTATTTTAATCCAATGTGTTAGTCTTTGAATGTGACATGAAACACTTTCTGTTTCCTCAGCATAATCTTAACCTCTTATTTGTCACGGAGACGAGCCAATCAGAAGGCCATTGAGAGACTGAAAGATATGCTGGTTATGGTAAGCACATTCCTACAAT